ATATTTATATAAACTCTTCAACTCAACCTTCTACTTATTACTTGCACTTTGAAAGGAAATAAATTTAATTCGTACAGGACGCTAATGAAAATAATTTGCTTTCTTTTTTATAATGAACTTCTACAACTTAGGTTAATTTAACTAAATTTAACTAAGTCTAAAAAACGTTCGCAAACAATGCATTATAGGAAATACTTGAACATCAAGAACAAAGTCCACATTAATACAAAGTCATCAGATAAACAATTGACTTGCCCTATGCTTTACGATTTTTCATACTAAATCAATTCTTATAAATGTCTACGTTTAAAAATGGTAAAAAGTTTTACAATTTGTTATGTGAAACGATTTTCCAAGCTTCCGACATGCATTTTTTATATTTGTTGCCTCTTCACTCCTGGCAAACAGTCATATTTTGAGATCAGTGAGATGACCACCCACCGAACCGCTCACGGTAATCCACGCCCGCGATCATTGATGAACTTTAGACTTCGCTAACACTAGTGCTAGCAGCTCCTGCTAATACTTTCGTTTCCCCAGGTGTAAATAGCCGGGCGGAATTAGTACCCTCGCCCCGTGCTTACGCCCGGAACGGCGCTCCGCGCCGTTGGCTCGGGGATTAATTACAAAACTCAAAAGTATATGTGAAAGTACACACATGCAGGAGAGATTAACCTTCTTCGCAGCCTGTCAGCATATATTCTATTTCAAATATGTAGAGTATAACTGAAGTTAGTCTGTTATATATTATTCTGTTGTTTATATACATCAACGGTTTTTCATTGAAAATAACATTTCGTATTCCGATAAAATATTAATACAAATTTTCAACATTTCTTAACACACTATATAGTCAAATGAAGATTTTGCAATGTAGGTTATTAATGACTAATCCCATGCCCTGCAAAGGGACATGATTTTGGAATGGCGTGGTAGACAGCTGTTAGATTATGAACCACAACGCGGGGAAGAAACTATAGTGGTAATCGTGTACCATTTACGCAAAGGAAATTCCTCTGAGTCTATAGTACAAATAGTAATATATATATATTCATGCTATTATATATGCCTGTTGATATACGTGACTTAAAAGAGAACAGTTATTAAGTTTAAACTATATAGCTGTTGTGCTTTGTCTTGGCAATCCAAACGCGACGAGTATGTAATGGAATGAGATATTTTAGAAGGTGAAAAAGGTGAAATACCTTAATTTAATCAAAAGTGGCCTGGAGACATTACACGCTAGACGACATGCTGCGTGCGTGAAACTTTTAATGAGTTAGTTTCTAGACCAGAATTCTCCCTTAATTCATAATTTACAAAAGGAAAAAAACCGTTTTAAAAACTCTTTTATCGTTAGTAGTTGTCTTAGTTGTCGTAAAAATACAACCCTCGATTTTTTACCCTCACCCTCGACTTTTTACCCTCACCCTCGACTTTTTACCCTCACCCTCGACATTGGACCCTCGACACTCTACCCTCGACAAAAACCTAAACTCTACCGTACTCCTCGCGAGACGTGAAACGGTAGCGATCGATAGCTGAAATCCGGATGTTTCAACTTTTCTCACGAAGATTGCAAATCAGTTGCAATGACAAGTAATTGTTTCATATAAAACTGGAAGTTGCTGTGCGTTCCACAAAAGTAACTAATCGATTAGTTTAGCTCGAAAATCCTCAGGTAGTTTGTTGTCATACTGTAGAAAGTTCGTTACTTCGTTATGCATGCATAATTGCATATTTACAGATATCAACACGCCTTAAATAAGCGGTAAATATAGGTCAAGCTTATACGTATTTAATTAAAAGTGATTTTGTGTAAAGTATTCGATAGTTTCGACTATATTCTTCAAACTTCATGCAACATTCTTTTTGCGTTTCGTTAGTCTGTTCCTCAGTATGATCAATCATTTGAAAATATATAATTCATTGGCAACAATACATGAAACTCAGCAAAGGCCGTGTTCTGTCAGGTATTTTAATACTATTATAGTATAATCAGATTAAGTGCATGTAATTAAGTCAAAAATACGATTAATTCATTTTTTATTTAGGAGCCGGTAAAAAATGATAAATTCTTTTTAAACTATGTACTAGGTATATATAGTTACTTTTCTTCATTGTCATGGATAACATTAACCGACTGGAAATCCTAACTTTCGGTATAAAACTGAAAGTCGCCATTATACTGTCGGCATTTCTCCTAAAAATGGCGACTATAATAATTAGCTCATGCAGCGGAAGGGTTTGAAAGCGGAAAGGTTTAATTCAAGCTGCTCATTAACTAAAATTTGTCTATTGTATCTGTACAGACCATTTATCGATAGACTAGATGTTCCATTATACACACATAGCTTCGACTACATTCAGTTGAATACATGAAAACAATTTACGCATGAGCGCCCTGCATATAGGTACGTAGGACCGTACGCTCCAACAAGAGCTACAATTCCATTCCAAAATGTGGGGATGTGGAAGCGGCTGTGCATGCGTGTTCGCAGAATTCTCGGGTGTGGTGGTCACGTCCAATGAGAGCTTTCGGACCCGTCCACACGTGTCCGGATGTGATGGTCACGTCCTACCTCAATATCAGTGAGAGCAAGCCTTTTGTGTGGACAGACAATCAAAGTCAAGCTTCTTTTAAATGTGATTCTGGAATATAAAGTCGCAAGTCGTATAGATCTTCCGGGTATCTACAGCTATTTCAATTAAGGTTGTCCCCCGAGCAAAGCGGAAAAGTCGAATACGAGCGCGAAAGGCTGCTGGGAATCGCTAATAAATTCATTCATTTATTAGCGATTCCCAGCAGCGTTTCGCGCTCATATCCGACTTTTCCGCTTTGCTCGGGGGGACAACCTTGCACAGGTTATTCGCATGTGGTTGAATCTCTAATTTAATCGATTCCGGTTGCGAATCCACTGAGATACGTGTGGACGGGACCTTAGATTTCATCATTTCAACTACGATTGCGACTATGGTATTCGTTCAATTAGATACGTATATATACGCCATCTTCAAATGTGCCATCTTTTTACGGCATCATGTACTGACACCATATAAATCTCGTAGCAGTGACCAAATTGAGAACGGGATTTTTGAAAAATCTCGTAGACGTAGTAAATCAATTATGGCGTAATCCTATACTTGTATTCATAGTTAAATGTCTTCGCGACCGCACCAAATCATGCACAAGTATATTTACGTATATAGGTGTGAAGAGCTGAAGCTATTTTAAAGCCAAACTATTGTTATTTCGTCCAAAACGAGATACTTGTTTATGTACAATGGGAGGTTTAACCGAAAGATTATCTCACTATACACCGACACAACTTATTTTTTAGAATCAACTCAATCAACTCTTCTCATGCAGTTTGCAAATAGATTATTATTGTATATTAGTGGCTTAGGAATAAATCATATAAAATGTTTAAAAATAATAATAAATCAAATAATATAATCTGTGGGTTCAGATCTCAGATTTTCATTTACGCGCATGCACTTTTGAATTTGGTGCATGCATAGTATAGCACATGCATTGTCACATTCCATTCATATCTGTAATTTTCACACTACGTTATATACATGCGCGGCGATAAACTGTAATATAACATTAATACGTTCCCATAGATTTTCCGTACCAATCATATACTCATTTAAATGCACGTTAGATCGAACCACGAATTTCACAAGTCTTGGACAACACGTTATTGCATATTTAATAAATGTTTTCGAGGGGTTAGCTTTTACGCCCAAATGTTGCGGTAAATCTTGTTGCGTGGTCGATTCGTTTGCGTCAACACGATTTCGGCTCTACAATCTTTGCACGTCTCTAGGATTAAGTTAAATACTTGTATTCATAATAGCCTTTTATCCTCTTTTATACTCCACAGTGTCACACCAAAAATCAAACTGGTGATTTTTGGACTGCCACTGGTGATTTTTGGTTATATTAACGAATGCGTATCCTAATTATTAATATCCCAAGAAAATACAACAAATAGGGCTCAATTCTACCTTTCCTAGTTTGTGTAATGCACTAATGTGTGCACCGTTTCCATGACAACAACGCAAATTCTGGCAGTCTTCTATAAATAGAAAATTTAATAAAAATTAATTCCAGTTGACAATTTCCGAACTTGCTTTATACTCTAAATTTCCCCATGCTTGGACAGTTACTGTGTTGATTGTTGCACATTACTACCATAGGAACGAATCCGCTGGAAGATAATTATATATGATAATCATACTTCACACCACTATTTTACGATGCCGCGAGAAAAAAATCCTGCAAACTGAAAAATTTCCAGAGATACGATGGAACGTTTCTGGGTTGCGCAAATTTTAAGTTCCTTGTGTGCATGACAGTGTGTATCCAATTAAAACGCGATGATTAGAAAATATGTGCAAGAAGATATGTGCATGCTTATAACGTTTCCAGGCAAGTTCCGCTTATATACAGAACTGTACATATATATATTAGCTATACGTACCATAATAGTATAACATTTTACTTGTAACAAGCTACACGCGTCTCATCCAAGCATTCTAGCTAGCACTTAAATTAAATATTTACTTTTCATTTTTTATACAAGAATGTTACTACAAAACAAACTTGCGAAATTAAGGCATGAAATCTCCTGTTTTTATATAGCGCGTGCTTTTTAACATTTTAATAAAGTAGTATACGCGCGTGCATTTGATATATATTTTGAACATTAGTATTAGTGACAATCATGTGTTTGGTGTCATCATGACAATTGTCATCATCAGCAGAAATTTTTTAATTGATTTGTTTTCTTTATTTCATTCACGTTTTCAACTACGAAATGTGTGGGCTAAACTGTGAACGACGTTCCAAGTGGAAGGGATTAAATTTGGCAACAAACAAAGCCCTGGTATCTAAGATAGCAATTATATAATGCTTTGTAAATTATCACCGAACACAAAACCCAGTGGAATCGTCTCACCTTATTATAGGCAGATAGCACAAGCTGACGGAAATGAAGATCTACTTGAATAAAATGAACGACAATATTTGGAATGAATTTAAAATTCCTTTAAATATCGATCTATCTTTGTTTGAATGTCCAGATTTGGTCCCAGAATTATGCGAAGTTCAGCTCACTAAAAAAGCTGTTTCAGATATTTCTGAAATTACACACAATGGTGTTTCGGTAGAGAAAAAAAAGCGTCGAAAGAGGAAATCATTAACAGGGCTGAGTCGTAAACGACGTGAAGCAAACGCCAGGGAAAGACGTCGTGTTGAAGAACTGAACAGAGGGTTTGTTTATCTGAAGAGAGCTTTACCATTGCCTAATGTTGACATTAGCAAGCTTGAGATTTTGACACTGGCTATAAAATGGATCGATCATTTGGAAACAATGTTGGAAAATTATGATGATCAGAGAGAGCTATTGACTATCAGACAGATGGAAACATCAAGACCCGAAGATCTATTGAACGTCACAGAAGGTGCCACACCCGCAAAACATGCATGTCTGTATCATGAATTCCCCGATCTACAGAACACACTTTGGGAAGAATCCATTGGCTTGCAAGGTAAGACAGATATGATTTTCCTCGTTAGTTTAGCCTCCTATTCACAGAGAGGTTAAGACACGACGATTCAGATTTTCGGGTACGGTAGCGCTCATTTTGTTTAGCAATTTTCACTAGTGATGTCTGCATATTCGATCATATTTTTTCTGCCTTCTCGCATATGGTAAAACTGTACGAGTAAGCATGCAGACATCGATGAAAATTACTACCTACAGAATGACGCTACCCGTGCTCATAAATAGTTCTTAAAAATCGCTTTATACAGACCCTTATAATATCTTATAAATAAATAAAAAGATCAGTTAGGGGCATTAAAATTATATCCTAATCAACCATACGTGTCGATTCCGATCCCCATTTGAACATTGTCAAGTTTCAAAATTCTAATCGTCTCTCACTACAGAAATTGTAGAAATGTGCTTTTAATTTCTGATTATTTTTTCAGATACACCAGATGCTGAGAATGAAGGCTGTGTACACATCAGAAGTACCTCTAATTTTAATTTTCTTTTTGAATAACTCGAATCTGGATTCTTGGAAATCAATAATCCATGCACTGCAATCGCGTGCAGGTCACGTGTAGGTCACGTGGTTCGACCGAGCTACTTCGACGCCACACATGCTTGTCACTGGGTTTCTAATCATGGAATGGAGGACAGAATATTATTATTATACTTATAAGTTATATATGCATCTCAATTTTTCTTTGTGCAGTTATAGAGCTAATTTAGACTAAACATTTGAATGACTGACAGAACTAATAGATATCTGAGGTTTCTATAGTGGAACCCTCATTAGACAAGGAGTAAGAAACAAGTTATATAAAACAGTAATTCGTAAAAAGCTACAATCGCGTGCAAAAAGTATTGAGACAAGCAGTTTATTGGGCCCCCTCCCTCCTGTAACAAGTGATTCTTGCCCCCCTCCCCCGCGTGCAATGTTGTTAAAACGATTTTGAGGCAAGGCGTTATCTAATAATATGTTTTCAACATTGTTAATGGGGGGAGGGGGCATACACGTGAAAAAGATCAGCAAAATGTGAAGAGTCAAGAGTCTCATTATTTTTGCACCCGATTGGTTGTATATCCACCTAGGCTAGTGGTGTGGTTAAATATGCATGGTTAAATCAACCCAATTTCCTGGTGCAAAGATACATAGACTAACAAGAAAATTATCCTTTTAATAAACGGGGAGTTTTAACCGAAGTGTTTTAGACTATAGAATGAAAATAGGACACATCATACATGATAATAATACCCTAGTGTTAATTTAACATTATGTATCTTTAATTGAATCGTTAACATTAAATTTCACTGTAAAAAGGTGTTTTTGTGCTCCGTAAACATAACAGAGACGATCTTAGGAGACAGAATATATTTCCGTTCAGAAGTGCGACATATAATGGTTGAATATGGTTCATCGTATTTGGCAATTGGTCCCTGCGTGATGTACACGGATGTATTTCAATTTTCTGTTAAAACCTAATTATTTTAGAACTTTTGATAGTTACTTCTTTCGGAGCCATCTTGTTAAATCTCATTTCGATATTTTTTTTCGGGGGGGGGGGGACTGAGCCCTCCTCCCGTGTTTATCAAATTAAGCATACGATCGCGCGAGGAAACTCGGGTGACTACCAGCACTGTATAATTGTCGCTATGCCTATGCAGATACGTTGGCTAGAAGCGGATATAAACATGAATAGTGCTTTGAATAGAGATGACGGGAGCTATCTTCCACAGGAATATATATCTAACCCTTGTGAGTTGTGGGCCGATGACATTTCCCTTTGAGTATATAAGAAGCTGCGGTGTGACCTTAATTAAGACGCCCCCGATGACGACACTGGACTATGTCACTTGACTAGCCTTTCAATTTCACAGTTTACTTTTTAATAGCGAACGAAAACATGTGTGAAATGCATGGTTTGTCCCACGCGAACGACGTTTGTGGTTTGTCCTGTGCGGAAAGTCACACAGTGAGAAACCGATTTTATGAACGCGCCTTCCTAATTTCTTGCTTCATTAAATGATGTCATAGATAGTGCACTAATTATTCCCCACAATCCCTTTTTCAGGCGCAAGATATATATCATAATGTGGTTGTCATAATTGACTGACTCTAAAAATGAAAGTTATAAATCTAAACTGTCAAATGTAACAACGGTTCAAGTGGATTATGTTGTACAAGGCTTTTCAGAAAATGAAAAACAATTGCTACCAGTATTTCAATGTCTACCTTTACGGCGATCAAGCAAGTCTTGGTATAGTTTGATAGCTAGTCGGTATGTGGATAAATAAATAAAATATCAGAGTGTAGATTCATCTTCACGTTATTCCTATACAAAGGTACAATCTAACGTATGCGGGGACTGCATCTGCATGTCTTGAAATGTACTTTCTAGCTGACGGCGATAAAAAAACCCATCACTGAAGCAATGATAGCCGCCATAGCCTCCTTCACAAGCCAGGGAATCGGGTGGAACGAAAAAAGTTTGAACTACCCATTCGCCAGCTAAACTCATACAGATGCCTGCGGAGGAGGTTATGACAGCCCGGCAATGAACGCTACTTTGCAGCGGGTTCCAGGCATCCTGCCGCACAGTGCCTTCTTTTAGGAAAAATTGCATTTGACATGCTATAATTAACTATTGTACATGTTTATACAAATAGCCAAAAACATGCGAGGTTAATATCTCAACCTAAATCAAGTATGGAAGTGAGATTCGCAATTGATTTAACTAGAGGCTCTCCTGCGGAGGAAAGATCCTGGTAGGAGCTGGTCACGTGATCTGCTAAAATCTAGCAGAATTCTAATTAGCTATCTTGGATTCTTTTAAAATCAAATCAAACTTGCAAGACAAAATTCAAGTTAAAAATTAAAGTATAAATATCAAATATTTAATATCATCATCATCAATTAAAAATCTGCTAGATTTGAGCAGATCACGTGACCAGCAAGGAGCCTGGGAACTAGGTTGTCCGCGGCCCTGGTTCTACATACTTCTTGAGGATAACGCCATAAGACGCAATAACACTACTAAACTGGTCAACTGGTCTTAGAAGTGACAAATAAGTCAACAGGTAATATAATGTATACTTTTCCTATTTTTTCATATCTTTCATATTTATTTATTTATTTATGTCCCCAGAGCCATTTTACTTGGTCACTTATTGAAAATTATGCCCAGGATTAGACAACAAAAGAGAGAGGTTTTTTGGCCTTCTCAGAGAACTGCTAATTACCACAACTTGAGCAGTTTTTGTAATACTTTTGTTTCAACAAATTCAGTGAAACAACAAATTCAGTGAAAAATTGATGGCAGTCAATCTGACCGGCAACAAACGAAAGTTCCCTTGAAACTCAAGAATACTTGATGCCTCATTGTGCCAACATTGAAAGAAATTCACTATATGAAGAGGTGCAGACAGTTTCTATGTCTGACGCAGAGGGCGGGGCGCCAGCACAAACCATGCAGCTATAACTTCCTATATACCACCTTCTGGTGTCTAACTAGCCTGCGTAACAGGCTTTTTTTTTAGGGTTTTGAGGATTTTATGAATAAATGGCGGGCTAGAAAAAAAGGCGAGAAAAAACGGGCGATTTTCGCTCATTTTTTCTCCGCCCCTTTTTTGTGACCCGCCATTTATTCAAAAATCCTCAAAACCTTCAACAAAATAAAGCGACTGTTACGCAGGCTAGTAGGAAGCGAGCACAAACCAATGGCTGGTTATTTCAATACAGGCACAAAGCTTCCTACTACGTTGCAGTTCAGAATGTTGGAAATCAAGTTGCCGTTGTATCAATTGATAGTTACCTTCTTTAAATAACCTCCAAACATTGATATACACTGAGCTGTGACAACGAATCAACGATGGAAACGAGATGGATGGAGACGACGTACGAATTGAAAACGAATGATGTGGATCATGATTCATGTAAAGTAAATTACCAAACGGTCAGTGGAGCCTTCCCTAAATTCATCACCAACCAACAACACACAGTAGTGATAGTACCCATGAAGATTTTAGTTTGCTATTGTAATTCAATTGTCAACGCTCATGATCTACCAAAAACACATACTGAGGGAAAACGATGTGGATACCTTGCAAAGCATGGGTCATCAGATACCCTTACCTCGATCGTGGTTGAGTAACTTTCCTGTGCTTGAAAAGCTCATGTAATCAGGGCCGTAGGAAGCTCTTTTCGATGGGGGGGGGGGGCTGAAAGCGAAGGCCCGAGGAAATTTTTAAATTTAGAGTCTCTGAAATGCCATTTCCTGGACTTTGGGGAAGATTTGACAGAATTCTGGTGGTCAGAAAACAGCGTTTTAGTATGTCGAAATTTACAATTCAGTAGTACTAAATGGGCGAAGGCGTATTTAAATAACTATATATTTGGATAAGTTGCAGGAAAGTATGGGTAATATCTTCATTCTTTGCAGTTTGTCCTGGTGTTAAATGATAAAGGTCTGCATGATTTTGAAAAATGAATGCTTATTAGCAAATTATTGGGGGGGGGGGGGGCTGCAGCCCCCCAGCCACCCGGTTGCTACGGCCCTGTGTAAGTACAGTTTGGTAGGCTCTCTTCTCAGTTCTGTGCTTCGATGGTTTCAGTTTAATGTACTGGGTTCTCTTGTTGTTCCTCCCTCATTATAAACTAACCGTACAGATTTAATCGGAAGAATCATACACTGACTATATACCATCTCTCATCGACCTTCGTCAAGCGGAAGAAAGTGATAAAGCAACCCCGTCCTCTTCTTTCGTACGATGATGTACATCATACGGCCATCCATGAACCATCGATCGTGAATTTGGTGAACTTTTTTGTTTCTGGTGAACTTTTTTGTTTTGCGTACGTTCATGCATGACCTTTGGTTTTGCGTTTATGACCTACCCCAAACTTCCTAACACCTCACGGCCGCAACCTGTGGAATACTACTCCCAAAGTCACTGCCTTTACAGTATATAGTAAAATCTTGTCTAATGCTTGTGTACCCTGGTTCCAGCGGCTCTTTGCGAGGCGAAAGAAACGAGGGGCGAGAAGGAAGAGCCTCTGGTCACATCGGTTGCAAATCCTACTTCCACACTTGCATGATTAGGTTCAGAATTTGAATCTCGCATGTGATTGGCCATTTGTAAAAATATGTCAAACCGGTTTGGGGAATAAACATTACTGTAAGCTAATTATAGCTATAGTAGGTATAATTAGCTTACAATATGCAGCTGCATGCAATATCGACCGTAACATGCATACGGCCTTTTCTACTTTTAATTTCCTAATTTATATACTACGTCCACATGAGCATCGTTTATGATATTTCGAAAACGCATACGTCGAGTATATTTTTTAACATTTCCTATGTTTATATTCATTTTGTCCTTATTTATCGAAAAACCTTAGAAGAAGACCTGAGGAAAATGTCTGCGAAGAAAAAGGAAAATTCTCTGCATATGACCAAAAAACTTCCGCTTAAAACAATAGGCTGTAAATACTAAATATTATGATTTATGCTGATGAGAGATGGCTTTATAGGCCCTATCTTTGGCAAAGATAGATTAAAATAACCTATAGGCCTATAGCTTAGAACACAACTGAGGTCAGGACAGTGTAGAGTACTAGAGGCAGTAGAGCATTATGTTGTTTATGCAAGTTATTGCATGCTTGCTGCTTAATTAGTGCGGACGATGATTGAAACAATTACACATACAACAGTATAATGTGAGTTGCAAAACGGAGTCTTTAGTTCTTGTCGGCGGAAATTAATTTTCGTACAAGCAAAATTAACATCGCTATTTTATACTTCTTGTAGGCGAAACCCTATTCACAAAGGCCGCCATGTATCATGTATTCAGACGTGTACCAAGCTGCACTGACGAGGCACGTTGAAAGCCATATATCTATATCTATCTATCTATCTATATATATATATCTATATATATATATATATATATATATATATATATATATATATATATATATATATATATATATATATATATATATATATATATATATATATATATATATATATATATATATATATATATACTGTATATATATACTATATATATATACTGTATATATATACTGTATATATATATATATATATATATATATACATATATATATATATATATATATATACAGCTAATTCAATAAAGGTTGTACTTTGAAAACCTTAAACTCTAAAACCTTAAACCTTAAACTCTAAGCGCGCAAAGCGTAATGGAAGCACTATTTAAGCAGTTTAGAAAGCATACATGGAGCCCATTTCTTGGAGACATGGTAAATATGTGCCTGCCAAAACATTTCACTCACAAACAGCTGCAATATTCCACTACAAAGCTTGAAATCAGTACTCCCATTATGCTTTGTGCGCTTAGAGTTTAAGGTTTAAGGTTTAGAGTTCAGGTTTGCAAAGGACAACCTTTATTGAATTAGCTGTATATGTATATATATATATATATATATATATATATATATATATATATATATATATATATATATATATATATATATATATATATATATATATATATATACAACCAAATATATATTCAAATACTTCATGTTCGGAAAATATAGTGGTTTTGCTAGCGGGCGAGGGTTTCTGCATGCATGTATTTCTAGTAAGATTATAATATACACTGAGTAGTTTTAATTTTACGATTTTAATATCACATTCAAACGATTTTAATATCACATTCAAGTGAGTTCAACATTAATAATTTAATACATACCATAACTAAAAAACAAAAAAAATTGAGCTGCCAGCGTTATTAGATAAAGTCGTTTTGTCATTAGTGAATCTTAATGTATACTCCATGTAGTTCATGTAATTTTTCATTCCGCAACTCATTCCGCATGTCATTCTGCAACTCATTCCGCATGTCATTCCGCAACTCATTCCGCGTAGTCACTGCTTCCTGAAAAGTTCCTTACATATTCTCCAGCCTTCTTTTCTCAGTCGCTTGTTTGACCAAAAAAATATTATACAGTTCATTGTGGAGTTCATTGCAACCAAAGTTACAGTCCATATTTTGACCTGGACAACGCCATCCACTGTTGTCACACGGTCGCCGAACAGTGCTAGTACAATAGCGTTTGGTAGGTTCAGAAAAATACTTGACAACACTACAAATAAGTACATTTTTGCAAGCTGTATATCATGTAAGAATGAAACTGTTTTCTTTGAATGGATTGCTTCTGTCGTCCCTCTTGAATTCTCTTGATTAAAATCAAGCTCGTCTGTCCCTGCACTTATAGACCTGTCTCTAGAGGTTTGTCGTTTTCGAGCCTGGATAAAAATACAGACATATATATAGAAAGTGCCTATAATCACTATGAGTGCAAGTGCAGTGATAAAACTTTGAATGTTTAAAGCAAATACGGGTGAAATTCCAGTCACAATGCAGCCGATCCATGCCAGAGATGCGATGAATAGGCATCTACGCTTAGTGACGTGGTTACGGTGAAAGAATGGATGTACGATTGATAGATATCTCTCGCAATTCATAACAAAGAACGTTAGAAATGACATCCCCGAGAATACAACTGCTGATGTTTGGTAGGTTATTTTATAGCCACATTTAGCAGTTTCTGTGATTTCAGCTACGGAATTAAGCACGTGTAATGGATGAACGATGATTGAGACAGAGAGATCAATTGTTGACAACACCATTATCATGAAATATGATACTTTAAGTCGGAGTTTTGGTGTTTTCCAGAAAACGCATATCACGAGTGCATTAAGGAATATTCCTGTCACAGCAAATGCTATGTTTACAACGCAACCAAAGATGCTATTGATGGTGTATGAACTCGTTGGTCTCAAAACAATATATGTCTCGAAACAGTCCTCAATTGAACCATCCGTTGTTAAATTACTCGACATGTTCCCTTCGTTTCTCATTCACTCTAAACCAAAGTATCTTTAAACAATCGGCAGAGCCTTACGAATACTTGTGTCTGTTTCAATAACTCCTGGTTATATAATCCTTCCTTCTTCCGTGTTTGTCGTTAAATCGTTTTAAAACTCTTTGTCAACCCATCCCAGTTATTGGGGGCGATATCGCCATCCCAATTTGAAGGTTCATATCTTCGGTTCGTTGCAAGACAAAAATACCACCATTCGATTTAGTGAAACGATATCTCCTAATTCCTGGTTTTGTCAATATCAACATTGTAGCAATTTATGGCCTTTGAAAGTCTAGTGAGATCGTATAATGATCAAATTACTCAATTATCTGAACAAAAATATAAACTGGCATACCTTTCGCCCGCTTGAGACGTATCCTCTTCGTAATAGTACAGTGTTATTTTCAAGCTTGTACCTTCAAATAGTCATCTTTTATTACCGATTTCAACCGGAAATACCATTTTAAAATGTCAAAACAATGAGATGCTTCAGAGGAGATGCTTGTACCTTATTAGTCTGGAAACACCGGAAGTTGATTCTAAAAGTCAAGTAACTCTATTCTGGGAATTCTCGGGTGTAAGCAAGGGCAATATCATTTTGTGGGAAGATTTTACAGTAATGCTAGAAGAGGTGTTGTAGATTTTATTGACAATAAGTTCTTGGAAGATGATAAATATACCACTCCTTCATTAAGCCGGTTTTCCATTAGGCGGAATTTTGCGCGCGGAGCGCAATTTTTCTTTGTCTTGTGATTTCTCGGGGGGAACTAATTAGAAAAGACAAAGAAAGATTCCGCCCCGCGCGCACAATTCCGCCTAGTGGAAAACCGGCTTTAGACCAGCGATATTCAAAAGATCTGGCACTGTGGTGGTCACGTCCTACCTCAATATCAGTGCATGAGGCTTTGGTCCCGTCTACACGTTCCTGGGTGTGGTGGTCACGATTATGACGATTACGATTAGCATTTCTATAGCGCAAATTTACATGTGGATATAATCATATGCGCTTTACATCAAGTATTAGACCTAATTACATACTTAGCCTAGATTATTTTATCTTTTCAACAATTGTGATATGACTTTCTTAACTGTGTTTATCCTAACCCACCCTGTCAACTTTCCCTGTGGGAGGAAACCAGAGTACCCGAAGAAAACGACTTTCGGCAGATATATAGAGAATAATACATGGCTGCGCGGAAATACCAGATTTATTTCGAGTGTTGAACATGATATCTCACGAGTGAGCGCAGCGAACGAGTGAGATATCAGTGTTCAACACGAGATATCAGTGTTCAACTAAGATCAGAGGTGAAATTAAGGCGCTTGCTCTGACGACTGCGCCACCGCGGATAATGAGGTCACGTATAGGGAGTTTAAGCTTCACGTTTGCGGGAACGGCAAACGGAAAGGCCGAATTTTCTTGGCGTAATTTTTGTTCGATTTCTGTGTGTCATATTTTCTTACGTATGACACAAGAATAGTTAAGCATTCTAGTTTTAAAACAACAAGCCCGTTTACTTTTTATTGCTTTAAAGCGTAAAATTTTTCTTTGCCTGCAGACGTTTGTCGTTTGTCGTTGAACGCGAAGCTTTTAAAAGCTTTCTCATATCAGTACATGCATGGTCAATATAATAAGAAGGTTAGGGAACTCGATGCAGGCATAATATTTTTATTTATTTATTTAATTATAATATTTTTATTATTATATTTAATATTTTTATTATTTTTATTTTCATAATATTTTTATTTATTTATTTTATTTTATTTCTTTATAATAGACCTCATTATCTACGGTTTATTGTCACGTGTGTGTTTGCATTTTCGCTAGAGCAACGAATAGCTATGTTTTATTTAGCCATTGTGTAATATCATGACTGGGTAATTAAACCAACACACTGCTATTGGTTGGTTATGGGCGAAAAAACAAAGCTCAGTCACGCGTGACGATGAAGCGACCATTTCTTGCATAAACCAGACAAAAACATAGATAACGAGATATATTATATCTTCATCGAGTTTCCTAACCTTTTTATTCTATTGACTATGGTCAACGTCAATATCAGTGAGAGCTTTAGGTTCAGACGTATCCGAATCAGTTGCGTTCTCGACCGTCCACACGTATCCGCGAAAACTATACCGGAACAAGCCTCCTAATCACTTACAACGCTTCATCGAGTGTAAAGAGCCCACGACGTAGTTGTTAACGATATTTTTCCTTTGATCTTCTGCTAGTGCCCCCTGTCGTGTACTTAGATTTCGTGTATTTAGATTCTACAGTAACTAATGCGCATGTCCGTGCGTATGACCGCTGTCCGTCTATATATATATATATATATATATATATATATATATATATATATATATATATATATATATATATATATATATATATATATATATATATATATACCTGATGATTCCTATACGGATGAAACAGACTGTTGTGGTTTTTTGAGGTAAAACGAAAAACTATATTACGCTCTATCTATATGGTATTGAGCACTGTTTGTGTTTGGTAAACCAAAATCTTAAGCTATATATATATATATATATATATATATATATATATATATATATATATATATATATATATATATATATATATATATATATATATATATCCCATCTCCCTTTCTAAGGAATGTATCATAAAATATTGTTCATGAGTTCACTATCGTGTTCGAACAATTATACTACCATAACAGTAACTAACAAAGCAGTTCTCTATGTAGTTTTCTGAACAGTTTTCGGAGCAAATAGTTAAGACCACATGCACCTCTCGGATGGTTGGTGTGACTAGTTGGGTTCAGATCCTGTTCGGTAGCCCTACTGAACTTGCTTCTTCTTGTTGCACTACTGGTGGAGTCGTGGCTGCTGGTTCGAGCTCTGGATGAGGTTCAGCCGTATCTTGAGCAGTTGATGGCACTCAATCTGACTATACCAACAAACGAAAGTTCCCTTGAAACTCAAGAACACTCGATGCCTCATTGTGCCAACATTGAAAGAAATTCACTATAGTTTATATGAAGAGGTGCAGACAGTTTCTATGTCGACGTAGGGGGCGGGGCCTCCAAACATTGATATACACAGAGCTGTGACAACGAATCAACGATGAAAACTCTGACTACGAATTGAAAACGAATGATGTGGATCATGATTCATGTAAAGTAAATTGCCAAACGGTCAGTGGAGCCATGCGTCCCTAAATTTATCACTATGTAATTCACTGGTTGTTTACTACTGTAATATTCAGTTGTCAACGCTGATCTACCAAAAACACACACTGAGGGAGAACGATGTGGATACCTTGCAAAGAATGGGTCATCAGATGTCCCTTACATCGAGGTTGAGTACCTTTCCTGTGCTTGTAAAGCTCATGTAAGTACAGTTTGGTTGGCTCTCTCCTGCGCTTCGATGGTTTCAGTTTAACCGGGTTCTCTTGCTGTTCCTTCCTCATTATAAACTAACCTTTCAGGATTAATTGGAACATCCCTAAGTAACTACCGTAAACCTCCGAATGTAACCCCTCCCCCCCGTGTATAAGCCCACCACATGTACTCTCACCTCATTCCAAATATAAGCCCCCCCCCCCGAATATAAGCCCCCCGAATATACGTCACCCGAATATCTGCCCAGTAGCCCACTAGGTTATTCAACATTGACATTGTCTTTTAATATAGCAGAGAACGATATTTAAAAACATTGTCATTGTCTTTATAGCTAACTATGTTAGTTAATCAAAGCGCGTTATCAATACTGTTTATGACTGACTTGTTTATTACTATAACACACAAGATCGTTCATATATAAGACCCCCGTATATAAGCCCCCCCCCCCTTTTATATATAAGCTCATCAAAAATCGCTTACGAAAGAATATAAGCCCAGGGCTTATAGTCGGAGGTTTATGGTAACCCCTAGGGACTTGGCCATTTGGGCAGTAAAACCTACTTTCCGTGCACCTCAGGCAGACACATTAAATGGAGTGGATGACTGTTCTCCAACATTAAGGGAACATATTTGTTCTGAAGGACAAAGTGCTGGCGATGTTCACTTCATTGAGAAGATGCATTTTCCACTAAGGTGCCCAGTGCCGTGTCTTCACTCGGATAGGAGTAGCCTCATTCTGCATGTGTGGGCATCAAAAAGTGGGATGTCATGAGAGTATATGTGTTCATACCGGCTGACTACCATCTTTCGTCGATCTTCATCAAGGAACAAAGTGATAAAGCGACCCGCTCTTTTCTTTCGTATATGATGATGTATATCATACGGCCATCCATGAACCATCAATCGTGAACCTGGTGAACTTTTTTGTTTCTGGTGAACTTTTTTGTTTTACGTTTATGACCGGCCTACCAAAAGCAAAAGTTGTGACAACATGCAGTGGCCGAACCAATTCTGATTGGTTAGCTCGTGTATTTTTTTCCATTGCGAATATATATAATCGTCGTTGAAAATCATTCCGTTCATCTTAAAAGATGTGGAAGCTAAGAAAACAAACTGCAGGCAATTCCATCGACGAGATTATGTTTCCTCGTCTGTTTTAAAAGTCAAGCAGCAAAACGATATTGGCAGAGGAATTCAAATTTTGATCACTTATTTTAAGGCAGAAAGGGCGGTACAACCATAGCACAACCTTGGCTTACGCGTCTCTCTAGCGAGGTGATTATCGGAAAAACCGAGACGAAAGAGAGGATTTTATTCACGATACTGAATCACCGAGCCTAAGTTGAATAATATATTGTTTTAGTATATAATTTCATAGGTGACTATTTGGAAAAAAAATTAAAAATACACATTTCTTCGTCATTTAATTGACAAAATGACTTCGCCGCCATTTCGAAAATCGCTTAGGTGATTATCGCGTTATAATCACCTCAACGGCAACCAATCAATAATCACTTATGCATGTAATTATACTAAAGATGATTAATAAGCTTTCGTGTGATTTTCAATGAAAAGATATACAGCGCAGATTCTGGGCTCGAGGGTTGGCTTTATTAGAGTTTATACTCAATATAGATTGCATACAATATCGTCCGTAACATGCGTATGGTTTTTCTACTTTTAATTTCCTTATTAATTAAAAATTGATTAACATTTTGAATAGTTATTTGTTATCGAGAATTAAATACCTGCCGATAATTATATATAGATTATACTGAGAATGCAGTTAACGGCTAAAGAGTAAAGATTAGGATCAGGCAGGTGTTTTCACAGTTAGAGCCAAACTATATATAAATTTAATGAATTTTAGATATGTTTCAGCAAAAATATATATACTGTACATATTTATCTCAAGTTCACAAGATCATCCAGTTTTTGCACTAATTATAATACACGTATACAGAATATGACAGCGGTAAATATACACAAAAACATGAATTGAATATATATGAATGTAAGTCATAGATATCTTATACACACTAGATAGCGCATCTCTTTTAGTAAAATTGAAGCCAAGAATATTCCAGCGGTTACCCCCATTTGAATAGATGGCGGCCATGTTGGAGTTTCCCACTCGCTAATAAACGCTTAAAAACAACAATAACTTTCATCATTTGAATAGTTTGAAAACGTATTTGGAATATGTTTAACTTAATGTTTAAGTTCCCTGTTTAATAAGTAGAAAACATACGAGTCTTCTCATTTCATGAGAATATCCTGAGTCTGCAATCACGGCTTCAATTTTTGAATTGCAGGATAATTAGATGCACTATCTAGTGTACATAAGATATCTATGATGTAAGTGCATGCGTTAATTAATAACTAGTCGGATACATATATATATATATATATATATATATATATATATATATATATACGATAAATATTAGCTACATGTTATCATGTTACGCTACGTCCATAGCATCGTTTCTGATATTTAGTCGAAAACGCATATAGGCGAGTATATTTTTTACTAACATTTCCAATGTTTATATTTTATTCAAAATGTCTACGAAGACTAGAAAGAGGCAAATTCGCTGTGACCTAAAAACATCCGCTTAAAATATAGGACTGTTATATACCGATCATGGGAAATGGTTTTTTAATTATAATCTCTAAGATAAATTAAAACAACCTATATAGGACACTAAGGACAGTGTAGATCGAGCATTATGTTGTCTATGCAAGTTATTGCTTGCTGATTAATTATATCAATATATTCTGTGCGCGACAATTAATTCACCTGAAATTAGAGCAAACAAAACAAACATGCTCATGCATGACGTCAGCGATTTTAAACACCTTCGTTTCCTTTTTGTCCGTCCATACTAATCCAAAACGCCTCCGTATTAAATTAAAGTCCCCATTTTCAAAGCGGTTTTCGAACTGCTCCGTTTTCATCAATGGATAAAGGTATCCGTTTTCCAGACAATCATTGAAACAACACATACAACAGTACGTGAGTTTCAAAACGGAGTCTTTATAGCTCTTCTAGGCGGAAATTAATTTTCGTATAGGCAAAAATTACATGGATATTTTACTTCTTGTTGGCGAAACTCAATAATTCACACCATGGATATTTAAATAAGCGAAAATTACATGCGGGGTATTGCTTTTTTAAGCGAAAGGTGAAATTTATACATAATTGTTAAAACTAACAACCTGAGAAATCAAAAGTTTATGACCATTGTCTATATGATTACTTCCTGAGAAGTTCCTTACATATTCTCCAGCCTTCTTTTCTCAGCCGCTGGTTTGACCAAAAAAATATTATACAGTTCATTGTAGAGTTCATTGCAACCAAAGTTACAGTCCATATTTTGATCTGGACAACGCCGTCCACTGTTGTCACACGGTCGCCAAACATTGCGAGAACAATAGCGTTTGGTAGGTTCAGAAAAATACTTGACAACACTACAAATAAGTACATTTTTGCAAGCTGTATATCATGTAAGAATGAAACTGTTTTCTTGGAATGGATTGCTTCTGTCGTCCCTCTTGAATTCTCTTGACTAACATCAAGCTCGTCTGTCCCTGCACTTATAGACCTGTCTCTAGAGGTTCGTCGTTTTCGAGCCTCGATAAAAATACAGACATATATATAGAAAGTGCCAATAATCACTATGAGCGCAAGTACAGTGATAAAACTTTGAATGTTTAAAGCAAATACGGGCGAAATTCCAGTCACAATGCAGATGATCCATGTCAGAGATGCGATGAAGAGGCATCTACGCTTAGTGACGTGGTTAAGATGAAAGAATGGATGTACAATTGATAGAAATCTCTCGCAATTCATAACAAAGAACGTTAGAAATGACATCCCCGAGAATACAACTGCTGATGTTTGGTAGGTCATTTTATAGCCACATTTAGCAGTTTCTGTGATTTCAGCTACGGAATTAAGCACATGTAATGGATGAACGATGATTGAGACAGAGAGATCAATTGTTGACAAAACCATTATCATGAAATATGACACTTTCAGTCGGAGTTTTGGTGTTTTCCAGAAAACGCATACCACGAGTGCATTAAGGAATATTCCTGTCACAGCAAATACTATGTTTACAATGCAACCAAAGATGCTATTAATGGTGTATGAACTGGTTGGTCTCAGAACAATATATGTCTCGAAACAATCCTCAATTGAACCATCCGTTGTTAAATTACTCGACATGTTCCCTTCGTTTCTCATTCACTCTAAACCAAAGTATCTTCAAACAATCGACAGGGCCTTACAAATACTTGTGCCTGTTTCAATAACTCCTGGTTAAATAATCCTTCCTTCTTCCGCGTTTGTCGTTATTAAATCGTTTTAATCGTAATTGAAGTATGATATCCGTTCCAGCAATGCATTCAGGGTCATTCAAAAGCACTGAACTGTGCGTCCTAGTATGAATAATGGACTGGACTTACGCCGTGGACTCTTCTATTTAAGCCAAAACCAGCAATACACAGTAGTATGAAAAAACAATGTTGAATGCTTCGACAAAAACATACTTCTTATTACTTATATTTTTAAAAGCATATTCTCTAGCCTTTTATGCCAAATCAGATTGCTAGATTATTTTTAGCTAAATAACCACATGGGCTAACAAAAATAGACAACCGTGAGATTTGTGGTCCACGATTCGGATTCTGGCGTAGTAATCGAATGGCATGCATGCGTGCGTAACTGAAGACTCTGAAGTGGTTGCATTTCAAATTTCGCCATAAACCAAATAAAGAGGAATTGTAGCGTCAGAAGTAATTATCCGGTGTACCAGAATAGCTAACTTTACGATTTTAAAAGGGTGAAATCTGTTTTATCACTTGGTTTGATCTTATTGGAGTGCATTTTCACCCGAACTGCATTAACCGGGTTTGTTTCCCGCGCGTTGTTGCAATTCTTAAAATATACAAATTTACAAATGCAAGTACGACTGTTTAGAGACTGTGGCTTGTCCTTACTGCTGTGTTTCCATTGTTTGTAATTAGTGTTTCTGAGTTTATGAACAAATTTTGGGTTATGGCACATTCCAGGTTACATTCCTGCATTAGCCTACCCTGGATTCCAGAGCCTTCGACAGTAAATAATAAATTGAAATGTCGCGAAGGCTCTGGTTCAACGGGGCGATTCTTTGATTAAGCCGCGCCAATCACAAAACAGAATTAGTGGTTTTAGTACAGAATCTGTACTAAAACCACTAATTCGGTTTTGTGATTGGCGCGGCTTAATCAAAGAATCGCCCCGTTGAACCAGAGCCTTCGCGACATTTCAATTTATTATTTACTGTCGAAGGCTCTGGAATCCAGGGTATGCATTAGCATGAGTCCTCAAGATGTCCGTTCCTTTTAACTGCATTTCAAATATTTGTTTATTGACCCCCTATAGTGTTCGTTCGTCATGCATGCTATATACTGATGCTGCAATATCTTCTCATCAGCTTTGTTTTAGCCATGATGTCCTTGACTTGAGTGCCAGTATGGAAAGTAAACCCTCGACAAATAGAATATGATAATTAAATACAAAACGACATAATAATCAGTTAATGCTGATTTGAAAACTTTTGTTTCCTGTTTATAAAGTCGTGTGGATGAATATGAATTAATGTAATAGGATTGGCAAAATTCCAGAGAATGAAAGCAACAACATCATTAATTAAACTTTGTTGTTCAGATATGCGTCAATATTTTTCTTCGCGTCACGACAAGTCGATTTTTCTGCTTTTTTTATTTAGATTCTGCTGAAGGTTAATGATATTTCCAATTGTCAAAGTTTATGTATTCTTGTATCTCGTTGGACGAGGACGTATCACGCAAATTAAGTCATGAAATTCGAAAACGTGAGCGGTGAATAATAAAATTGTTCCGCTGTGGAGCAAATATTATGTAGCCGGAGCTTTCTCGTTTCTCTTTCGTTTTCTTTGACACTTGTTAGATATTACAAATTGAACGAGCCTTTCGGCTAACAGCATGTTTTGACAGTTTTTTTGACCCGAGATTGCCAATGACAATGTTAATTTCTTTCTCGGCTGAATCCTGATAAATATATTGGCAAGGTTTATATTATCTGTCACAGTGATCCGACGGCCTGTTTGATGTTGAATTGTATCTCACCGTGCACAAACCTTTGTCTGAACTTCACTAAATACTGTATTATTCATCGTGGTTGTACGTACGACAGTACGTTTCATTTGAGCTATTGCGCGATTGCTTCATTACGAAAATACAATGAGCTCAATTGCAATCACCGTGACCGTGCACAAATGAATGAATTTGGGATATTTTTTCGAGGATTAATCGAACATTCTTAAGTATATAGTTAAAGCTAGGTTAAGAAGCAGTTTTTATGTAAGGTAGGTGATTTATACATCCAAAAAATGGATCATAAAGATTAAAGACAGTGCATGTGTTGGTCAGTAAATGTAAAATGAATAGAAAAACGCAAATCTGCGGACATTCTCCGCGGGTTTTACATTCTTAAATTAATTACGGACTATACATTATATGTGCTTTGCATTGTATCCGAAGATAGTGCATGGTCACTATTCTTAAGTTCTTATATACTTTGATTTTGTTTGCGGCTAAAGAAAAAGGCGGCATATGCATGTTTTATTAGAAAAATTTTCAGATTTCCATGCAGGAACGTTGATGTTCCATGTAGTGTTGCATTCTGTTGATTTGAGATTTCCGAGAAGTGAGAATTTACTGATCTACTGCAGTAGATTGCCGTGTGACAGAAGATCTGTGTCATCGGACCTATGTCGATAATAGATTGCACGATATTTACGATAAGTGACAGTATTTTAACTGTAGTTCTCACACATCATTAGATATTCATAGATTTCGGCCAATGAGATGTTGTAATTTACATCACGTGTATCTATCTGGTACCCCGTCTAGACCTGGACTTTCAGAATTACTTCAAGTGGGAAGGGCTCTGAACAATAGGGAAATTGAGGGGTAAAATAGATTATAAAATGTATTTAATTGCTATGTTTAGAATTATTTCTAAATACAGTAAGCTGTATTTAGAAATTTTTCCAACTACATTTTGACTTAGTTTAACACTTTTTCTGAACGTTTGAAAACTACATAAATATAGGAAAACCAACTATCATATAACAGCGCTTTAAACACTACAGCAATAATACAGCAACATACCAGTAATGTTTACCGTCTAAATCGGTCTAATATATATATTCACTTCGGCTCTTCCATTTTCCACCAGATATAGCGCCTTAATTATCGCACACACAATCTGATATATCATTTTCGGATCTCTAACCTTGTCAGCGAGTGGGTTTCCTTACATTTGCACTACTGTGCTCACCACTTTCTGGTTCTCGAAACCGCTTTTTCTTATATTATAAGAAGATGCCATGCTCTTTTGCCAACAAAATTCATCTATTCACGATGAAAGCGAACTGAATGCTCCGTTACACTTCATGCAAACTTTCAAGCGAATGTAATCGTTAATTCCCACGCTCACTTTTTTGAATATCTAATAATTTCATGCCTCATTGCTATCAAAGTTTAATGATGTGTGAGAAGCAATTTCAAATCCTCGTTAGTGTTTTAAACTTGGCTTCCAAATCCCCAGTGCCATGAAGTTCATCGCACTTGTATTTAGAAATCACGTCTAAAACACTATAAGTAAACTCTGATTTGAAATATTACTTAACCCGTGCAGACCCGTATAGTATATAGTTATCTGTAGCACTGCATGTTATATACTAGTCATGATTTCAGGCTAATTATATTTCCTAATATGTACGTTTTATAACCATCCTCAGAGATATGAAAAATTAGAGTTTATATTATTCTGACACTGCAGAGTAAAACCAAAAATTCCTTGTTTCAAGCGGGATTCAAACTGCCATCTTCATGTTCAGTTCTAGACCCCCGCTCTATAGACCCATCGTCATCGAGCTATCAAATCAACGGGGATTGGTATATAGCGTGTCACGCTTAGTATCCAATTTAAGTGCATGAAATATTTTCGCGTCTTGATCCAGAACCTTGCTCAGAGATATGAAAAACTAGTTTCATATTTTTCTGTGTTGGTGTTGTGTACTCAGGTGAATAATATGTTTGCGATGTTACTCTGAGTGCATATCCACACCGGGCGAGCTTGAAAAATATGCCCGGCCACGGTGGGATTCGAACCTACGACCTTTGGAATACTAGCAGCCCAATGCTCTTCCAACTGAGCTACGCGGTCAGGACGGTTCGAGTAAGTGATATTTCGGAACAGTATCTAGTTCCTTCAATACCAATGTGTTCTAGTAATATGAATTTTTCTGTGTTGGTGTTGTGTACTCAGGTGAATAATATGTTTGCGAAGTTACTCTGAGTGCATATCCACACCGGGCGCGCTTGAAAAATATGCCCGGCCACGGTGGGATTCGAACCTACGACCTTTGGAATACTAGCTCAAAGGTCGTAGGTTCGAATGCCACCGTGGCCGGGCATATTTTTCAAGCTCGCCCAGTGTGGATATGCACTCAGAGTAACATCGCAAACATAGTTTCATATTATTCTGACACTGTAGAGTACAACGAAAAATGTGTTGCCTCGCCAGAGCAGGATACGAACTCGCATTTACGGATTTCTAGATTGCCAGCCTTCAGTTACCCATATAAGGCATATAGCTATTGAGTCAATGGCGCAGTCACAGAATAGGAAGTTATACCAGAAGCGTAACTCGAGCAAATATTTGTCCGCGTTTTTACAAGCGATTCGTCATCAATCACGCCATCCTGGCTAGTACAACTGGCACTTTGTACCTACCAAATCCTGATAAAAACTTCCGGCTGTACTAGCCAGGATGGCGTGGCCTGACGTGAGCGAGTTAAAAATTTTCGTGGACGTCAAACAATAAGGGAAACGACTAGAGTTACGCTTCTGGTATAACTTCCTATTCTGTGGCGCAGTCGTCAGAGCAAGCGCCTTTCGCCAATTCGCCTCCGAGATTGCGGGTTCATTCTCGCTATGGACTCGACAATGCAAGAGTCTGTCAACGCTCTGTCGAACGTGGGTTTCCTCCAGGAACTCAGGTTTCCTCCCACTGGGAAAGTTAACAAGGTGTGTCAGGATAAACCTACACGTAGTTAGGAAAGTTTGCTAGCTGTAAAGGTAAATAGTCTACGGGTCACTCTTATAGTCTAAACTCTAAAGTTGAAGTACACGGCAAAAAACGCTCAGGTTGATGCAATATTGATGAAAACAGGATTGAACAATGTTTTGCTGCCCACATTGTTCATAGCTGTCAACAACATTGAACAATATTGTTACACCCGATTCATGCTCAACAGCATTGTTCAATATTGTTGACAAGTGTGAACAACGTGGGCAGCAAAACATTGTTCAGTCCTGTTGAGCAACGGTCTCGGCGTTTTTTGCCGTGTAGGTAATATAAGTAAGCGAAATACTTGATGTAATCGGTCTCTGAAAAGCCCCGATGGGGATCGAGTGAGATGCCAATGATGTATGACTTAAGGACTATAAGAATAAAAAAAGTATATTATTATCTAGAGCGGCGGTTCTAGAAACCCGCGAGTTCCCGCTTGAGACAACGAATTTTTTGTTGCATACTCTGCAGTGTCAGAATAATATAAAACTAGTCTGTAATTGGCGTTTACTCAGTTCAAATTATTACGTGGAGTTAATATCGGAAAGGCTTCACCGCTTCGATTGTCAATTATCAACAATAAATTCTTTATGTATGGCTGTTTTCAGGGCCGCCGAGAGGGGGTGGCAGGTTGGGGGAGGGGGGGGGGGCAAATTGCCCCTGGTCCCCATCTTAATAGGGCCCCAATTTGACAGTGAGAGCCTAAAATTGAGTATAGGTTCTTTAAATTGGTCAGAGCATTTTTGAAATTGAGGGCCCTTTACAGTGACTCCGCATGCAGTCTAGTTAAGGTCTAGTTGGGTGTTGGTTAAAAATAATGAAGCCATAGGCCCCCAGGGAAGATTTGTCCCGGGCCCCGCGAATTCTCTCGGCGGCCCTAGCTTGTTTTTCATTATCAATGATTGGAACGACTGATATTACACATGATTTTAACACAATAGACAAATTTCCAACTTTAATAAAATCCATTATACATTTTTACGGCTACTAACACTGACTGTAACATTAATTAATCTAAGTCAATTCATCTCAATTGAGTTCACCCTCATTACAAATTATATGTTTCGAAATGTTCTCAGAAACGTAACCTAGATCTATCTAAACGTCAATTACCCTTGGTTTTTCCACCATGTTCCGACAGAGATGCCAAAATACTGCTTATGATCGTCAATACAGGCTGATAACTCAACGGGTAGGCATTTGGACCAAACTGCTGGATTATTGCTGCAACCTAAATCTTCATTGTGAGGTAATCCTTCGCATGTTTTATAAGGCGAAAATTTGGTCATGACTTCGCTACCATAAAAAAATTCTTTGCCGTGATGATAAGGCCAGCCACCTAAGGCAATACACGGAGTTCCAGGCACCAGTGTCTTGCAGGTTGGAAGATGGACAACAATATCACGGTTATGCGTTACCCTGAAACTTAGCGGTACCAAACCATCGTGCGTCAAAGCGTAATCATAATTACCGACTCTGGGTTGACCAAAAGTATACAACATCAAGTTATCTTTTGTTGTCTTGCCATTATACATGATAAGTGTACTTGCGAGAGATGCAAGTGCCCCACCGAGAGAATGTCCTGTTACCCAGACTTTATAAGTTGGGTAGCTGTTCATCTCTTCGTTGACATATTTTTGCAAGTCGTTCCACACAACATCCAATGCGTCCGAAAAGTATACTTGAACTTGTCCACCTGCTTGAAACGACTTTTTTGGCTCGGTTAGTATACGAAGAATTTCGTTAACTAATTGTTTAAAATGCTGAGTACCACGGAATACAATAGCGATGGCTTTTTCTGCGTGAGAGACAGCAACAAAACCAGAGCAAAGAGCGCCTCCTGAACATGGCTTTGTAACCTGCTTGACAAGTTGAAACGTGTCCACTTCGCTTGCTTTCGGTATGTACTTGGCCACATCGTCAGAGTACGCTAACGCGCAGAGATAGATCATTTTGTGCGCAAGGTTTTTGTCGTATTTAGCATACACGATCTTGTCGCAGTCATCAGGGTTAACGATATTCTCCGTTTGCGAGCATTTATTTACCAAGCTGCCTTGAGCATGGCATGCCGTGTCTCGTGGGCACCAGCGACAATTTGCCCCGGACCAAGTTTTGTGGTTAGTGCAAGAGACGCAGTCGCTCTGATCCTTACAATCATTACCACCAAGCCAGGCGTTGGAATATCTTAAGGAAACACAAGCGAAGAGAAAGAACAACAAAGACATGTTCGCTGCGTGATGTTGCTCGTCTTATGACAATGACAAAGTAGGAAACGTAATTATTTAACAAGAAACTTGGTGAAGTGAACCACTTGTTTCGATTTCAAAGGAAAATACTTGGAATACATAATTACTCTTCCTTATATGGCAAAGATCATTTTACACATGACCAATCAACACCTTAATAATAACCGTTTTCGTATTCAAAACTAGTTTCAGAATGGAGGACATAAATTGCAGGTTGCAGATTGGTGCAAGTTGACTGATAGTCAACTGAGAAGAGCCTTGGATATTTCCATGGAGTTTACAATAAAATCATAAACCTAATGCACACCCAGTCCCAAATCCTAAGTACGCGCAGGATATTTATCCTAACCAAAACTCCAAAATTACCATGCAACCTGCATTATAGACTCCCCGCGGTTTGAGATGAGTTTCCCCTCCCACAGTGAAACAACCAAGCGAGACTAATGAATATATTGGACCTCTAATAAAAAGAATAATGACTTTCTCAACATTTCCCATGGAGTATATCGTAGTATATATTTTGCCGATAAAGTACAGAGTTATGTATAGGGTAGTTAGCCTAGTTTATAAATCTTTAAATACCTTGACTCCAGTCTATTTAAGTAATATGTTCAAACCACTGTCAACAGTTTCCCAGCGACATACTAGAAGCACTGCCAATATGGACTTATATAGTTACGGGTATCCGAACCATAAACTAACAATCCGCCAGGAGTGGACTTCAGTACACTGGAGCATATTTTTATAATATGTTGCCACCATGCAGATATAAGATCTTCCAGCTCATTTCCAGCATTCAAGCGTAAAGCCCATGAATTGTTTTTAGATATGATGCTTGTGATGTTACTCTGAGTGTATATCCACACCAGGCAAGCTTGAAAAATATGCCTGACCACGGTGGGAAACGAACCTACGACCTTTGGAATACTAGCCCAATTCTCTGCCAACTGAGCTACGCGGTCTGGTCGGTTCGAGTATGTGATATTTCGGAACAGAATCTAGTTCCTTCGATATCAATGTTATCTAATAATAATCATGATTTTTCTGTGTTGGTGTAATATTTAATGTACTCAGGTGAATATGATGCTTGTGATGTTACTCTGAGTGTATATCCACACCGGGCAAGCTTGAAAAATATGCCTGATCACGGTGGAAGCTTGCCCGGTGTGGATATACACTCAGAGTAACATCACAAGCATCATATTCACCTGAGTACATTACACCAACATAGAAAAATCATGTTTTATAATTTTAGATATGTATAAAAATAACTCTGATAAGATGTATGTTAATTCTAATTTGTTATATATACCTATAGATACTTTATGTAAATATATTTATGTATAATTTTTTTCTGTGTTGGTGTTGTGCATTCACGGGTGAATAATATGATGTTTGTGATATTACTCTGAGTGTATATCCACACCGGGCAAGCTTGAAAAATATGCCCGGCCACGGTGGGAATCGAACCTACGACCTTTGGAATACTAGCCCAATCAGTGCCGCAGAGAGGTTGGCGGGGGCCCGGGGCAAAAATTTTTTTGGGGGCCCCCTTTTTGAAAAAAAAATTTTCGGAAAAATTTTTTCCGGACAACAACAACCCTCCCCCCCCCGTCACCAAAAAAATTTCGGTCAGTGTACCATTTTAGGGGTCTAAAATTTTTCCGGACGAGTAGATTGCACGCACTTTCCAGAGACTTTATCTAATTTTTTATGCATAATTTCGGTACTTAGCCCAATAAAACAGATATGTTGTCCTTTGCGCGGAAATATTTAACACAGAAAAATGACTGGAGCCCAACAAAAAATTTTCAGGGGCCCCCAGCACCTCGGGGCCCGGGGCAATTCCCCCCCCCCTGCTCCCCCCTCTCTACGGTATATTTAAGAATTTCCAAAGCGTGATTATTGCAACGCAATTTCTAACATACATGCAAAATCGTCTCAGGGAAATCGCGAGCATGTCTGCTCTGCAGACATTCAGACATCAAATATTCGATGGATCAATTGGATCCATGTTTGTCGTTGGAAAAATGTTTGTCAGATCCCAAAGTTTCGTTATAATAAAGCTGACTGCAGAGGAAAGAAGCAGCGCGACAGTAGGCTGTTCCGTGTACTGGTTACGCGAAGTGACTAGGGATGCCCGCTATGCATGACGGCAGGAGTCGGTAATCGAACGACATGGCGACTGTAGGAGCGAATTTGTTTTGAAGATGAAATGGCGGATTCTTAACAACCTTTTGCACCCATCGATAACTTTTATCAACAGGAAAACAACAAGAGAGCTCTGAACTACAGGTACATGTAATTTCATGGCGTTACGTGTATTAATGGTGAAGAAAATGGTAAGGAGGTGACATGTGAACACGTTTCGCAAACATTTCCTTGCAAAAAACTGACCTGACGAACAAAAACAGCTAAATTCGCGTTTCAAATTAATATCGGGAATGTTTAGTCAAAACACCAGCCAATGTAAATCCCCCCTCCCCAAATGGGGAGGGTAGGGATTTTGACTTAGAGGGATAGTAAAAGAGCGAAATTGTTCTCTCCTCCGGGGAAAGGGTAATTAATCAATGTCCCCGCATGTCTCTGAACCCTGGGAAAATAGTATTATATGTATTTCATACATCAGCAATAGAAAATCAAATTCATTTATGTTGTTGTATTTAAACTTTTCTTGTAAATATAAAGAAAACTAAAACAGCAACACAGGATATATATTTACTATTTAACCACTGAATCCATTCCCCCGCTTTCGTCCCCGGCATCGCCAACCGAAAGAGAAAATATCGTTCAAGTCCCCCATCATCGGGGACACATTTACAATCAAAACTGACCACTTTCCCCGCTAAATCCCCAGCCCCTCCCCAGTTGGGGGGAGGGGGCGGGGATTTACATTGACTGGTGCATACTTTCACTGACAGTTGTTTGTACTGAATTTCTATGTTATTTGGATTCGATAAGTTTATAAATGCCATTTTAAGCTTGTGAATTTGACAACCTTTGTCATGATTTAGATATTCGAAGTTTTTATCCAGAGGCTAAGCGTCTCTTTGGCCATATTTTTAAAGCTTAAATTTGCTCAATCGAATAAGTTGACTATAGCCATAGCAAGAATTTTTAATAGTATAGTAAAAATGTTCGATTTATTTCATCGTTTTTTATGGTAAATATACATATTTATTAACAATTACAAAGTGGGAAATTGCTTGATCAGTTAATCTTTAATTCAGATCGGTACTACTGACAGCATCAAATTTAGGTAGTATTTTATGCTTCGTTAGCTGAACCGTTTGTTTGATTGCAAGAAAATATATTTACTCATGTTTTAAGTTGTCTGTAAAGGTAAATTTCTCAAAGATTTGGACATTTGAACAATTCCAAAAAATGTTGATTTATATATGTGGTCCCATGCAGTGTCAGTTGGTGCAGGGGATACATGGTGGACCAGCATGCAGGAGTGCAAATGTAGATTGTTTATATGTATCTGCTTTTGATTGTTGAAAATTCAAGTCCTTGGGGGCTTTTTCCTCATACGTAATGCAAGTTTATATATCTGCTTGTATTATCTCCATAATCCTTGTTTTGATTGATGACAAGACCAAGGCGTCAATCCATCCCAAAAGGGGGGGGGGGGGGGGCGGACTAGTACTCCAAATTAGGAAGGTCCGGTGGTATGCTACCCAAAATTTTGTTTTTAATTTTGGTACACTGGTATGCTACGCGAAATTTTGTTTTAAAATTTGGTACATGGCGACTGTAGGAGCGAGCAATTTTGTTTTGAAGATGAAATGGCGGATTCTTAACAACTTTTTGCACCCATCGATAACTTTTATCAACAGGAAAACAACAAGAGAGCTCTGAACTACAGGTACATGTAATTTCATGGCGTTACGTGTATTAATGGTGAAGAAAATGGTAAGGAGGTGACATGTGAATACGTTTCGCAAACATTTCCTTGCAAAAAACTGACCTGACGAACAAAAACAGCTAAATTCGCGTTTCAAATTAATATCGGGAATTTTTAGTCAAAACACCAGTTAATGTAAATCCCCCTCCCCAAGTGGGGAGGGTGGGGATTTTGACTTAGAGGGATAGTAAAAGAGCGAAATTGTCCTCGCCTCCGGGGAAAGGGTAATTAATCAATGTCCCCGCATGTCTCTGAACCTTGGGAAAATAGTATTATATATATTTCATACATCAACAATAGAAAATCAAATTCATTTATGTTGTTGTATTTAAACTTTTCTTGTAAATATAAAGAAAACTAAAACAGCAACACAGGATATATATTTACTATTTAACCACTGAATTTATTCCCCCGCTTTCGTCCCCGGCATCGCCAACCGAAAGAGAAAATGTCGTTCCCCGCTAAATCCCCCGCCCCTCCCCAGTTGGGGGGATACATGGCGGACCAGCATGCATGAGTGCAAATGTAGATTGTCTATATGTATCTGCTTTTGGTTGTTGAAAATTCAAGTCCTTGGGGGCTTTTTCCGCATACGTAATGCAAGTTTATTTATCTGCTTGTATTTCTGCATAATCCATGTCAGTTTGATTGGTGACAAGACCAAGCCGTCAATCCATCCCAAAAAGTAGGGGGGGACTAGTACTCCAAATTAGGAAGGTCCGGTGGTATGCTACCCGAAATTTTGTTTTTAATTTTGGTACACTGAAATGGCATTTCCAGCGTTTTAGTACAATGTGCTGATCTTAAATCCATTTTTAACCATATGAGAAATACGCTAAAAAACAAGGTTGTGCAAGTGGGATAAAGCACGTCAAAGTTGTTAATTATATATATTTATTTAGTTGTTAGTTATTTATTTAGTTAGATTCCAATAGTATGTCTACAACTTTTATAATTGGGGTCAGGCGAGAAACTAAAAAAATGGAATCTTTTGTCTTAATATTTTACTATATTTGAACTTTTGAAAATGGTAAAATAAAATTATCTAGTCTTAAATCTTAATTTAGTCGTTAAATAGTAATACGATTATTATATGTCGATTAGCTCAATAATTGATGTATAATAGTTTAAAATATATTATCACCTTCTTTACTGTAAATATACGAACATAGCCTATATAGTATCTTCCACTTCGAATATTATTATATATATTCAGATCAAATGACTATAGCCTTGACAATGCTTATGACGATGATAATTATGAAGCTGGTAAGATATTTTGTAGTAACGAACGAATATACTGTGCAATGTACTGCACTACATCATGATACAATGATTAGTATGAAAGTTGCTGCTAGAGATTAGGAAAACAACCTTCTGGAAGAACATAAGAGCAAGATGGAGGTCCTTGATTCGGGGTTTGAATACTGGAGTTCTACAAAACAATGCAGGCTTAACTGATACACATGAAGAGCCTCAGAAGCGTATTATATACGACAAAGGAAATCAATCAATCGCCTTTTAGAAGGGTAAAGCAATGAAACATGCATGGTAATCTTATAATCTTTGATACAAATAACTATTAAATATCATATCGAATACTTTATGAGGTCTTCAATTATATTCATTTGATATCAAGTACTGAACGTTAACGTATTAATAAAATGAGTATATATAATGCAAAATTCATGTGAAGTGTTGTATTATCAGAGCACGACGTGTCGCGTTTCCCAAGGGTTGTATACCAGCTTGTGTATGTATAGCATACAGGCGTAGGATTCTCATCAGCATCTTCCAGGGGTTTCTCCTCAATGGGATTATTTCTCCTTCTTAAAAAATTATAGAGAACTGCTGTTGCCACAATAATTGTAAGGATATATAGTTGAACGTTTTGTTCTAATAGACATCGAAAGAGAAGGAAACAACCTCTTCCAAACCCCAAACATCCTCTCCATGCACTGTATTTGTTGTTCGAATTTGGGATGCATTATATCTACGTTGCGGGGGTGTCTTCGGGTCCACCAGTGGCGTCATCAAAAATGGTCGACAAGGATAGCCTTTATCACCAAGCAGGGCCCGCGGAGCGTATTAGAGAGTGGGGGGGCTAAAGGGTGAGGTTTAATTAATTTAGAAAGTTTCATTTAGATTTCTATTTTAATAATTTTGGCTGTCAAAAAAAGTGGGGGGGCTAAAGCCCCCCCAGCCCCCCCGTCTCCGCGGTCCCTGCCAAGAAGAATTCCTTGGATGCGCCATACTCAAACTGGGCACACAAACGACTGTTTTCAAATATTCTGGAATCATGAACGCTTCCGGGCCATCGAACAACGTTTTGATTCTGATGAGATTTGGTCCTGAAACTGCTTGAACATTGATTGAAAAAAACCCTTTCGATTCCTAAACAGTTTTGCGTTTTTACCTCGTGGGCATGGAATTTTTATATGCGTACAGTCAATCGTCCCAACAACGTTCGGAAATTCACATATGCTCCAGAAGTTTAGTTTAGTTTGTGGTAGCAAATCAGCTGCGGGGAATTGATCATTTTTAAGCGAGCAATTGCCTCACTATGATACTCGTTTAATAATTCGACTTGCACACGGTTGGGATAGGTCACAGAGGTCTCCACATGCCAGCTGAAACGTACCAGTTGCATAATAACGGAATGTCAACAAAAGCTTTATGTCCGCAGGAATTGGATTACGTCGTTCATTATGACCAGATATAAGTAGATACAGCTGGCCCTATTATCTGTAAGATATCCCGAAAACCACCCTTTGTTAATCTAAATCTGATTCGAAATTGCTCCTCATCATAATTGAAATTGTAAATTCTATTTCGGTTTCTATTATTAGGTGGAATTATTGTCCAAATGTTGTAATCTGTTAAGCCATACATTCGCCATGTTGTTCATCACTACTTCACGTGAGTATGGTCCAAGGTCCTACGCTGAAACTCCACTCAAAATCGATCACAATTTCGAGTGTGAGTGCCGTTTGTGAATGGTCCAAGGGCGAGTGTATTTTCCGACACATTTACACCCGTATTCAAAAAGCTCACTCACATTCACACTCAATGAGTGGAGGTTCAATATATGAGCTTCTCTTGAGTGTCGGTGCTGTTTTTGAATAGCTGGAGGGTTAGTGTCGTACCTTACTATGTGACTACTCACCCTCCAGCTATTCAAAAACAGCATTAACACTCAAGAAAAGTTCAGATTGAACCTCCACTCATTGAACCTCCACTCATTGCACTCGAAAAGACTGTTGGCTCGAAAAGATTGTGACCGACAATGGCCCGCAATTTACATCCGCAGAGTTCCAAATATTATTGAAGACTAATGGTATATCAAGCATATTACCACGGCCCCATTCCACCCTGCAACCAACGGTCAAGCGGAACGTTTTGTTCAGAGTTTCAAACATGCTACGAAATGTGAGAAACAAAGTACATCCCAACTGAAAACCAATATGGCAAAGTTCCTTTTGGCTTACCGGAATACCCTGCATTCGACGACTGGAGAATCACCGTCCGTGTTGTTTTTGGGCAGACCGCTACGGACTGACGGACAGGCAAATCGATCAAGCAGGGAGGAAAGGACATTCCCCCACACGTCAGTTATCCATTGGTCATACTCAACAGCCACTTGACTACCAGACATAGTTCGAGCTCAAACGGGACCCCCTTTCGTACGAGATCGAAGTTGGTCCAAATCGAATTTAGCGACGCCACATCAATCAGCTTCGAGCCTCCAGTATGAAATTAAATGACCAGAGTGGATGATACGGCTGGACCTCATCCAGAGCTTGGAGAGACTGGCCAGAATATTGCACCAGCAAAAGCAATTGTCGCAGAGCCGGATATCGAACTAGCCAGGAATCCACCAGTAGTGCAACAAGAAGAAGCAAGTAGGGCTACAACAATATCTGAACAACGGTCCAACTAGATCACACCAACCACCCGAGAGGTGGGGTCTTAACTGTTTGATCCGAAAACTACATAGAGAACTGCTTTATTACTTACTGTTATGGTTAGCATAATTGTTCGAACACGATAGTGTATTCATGAACAATATTTTATGATACATATTTATTCCTTAAAGAGGGGAGATTTGCCTAGCAATAAGCTCTTCTCTTTCAATTTTTTCAGTGCTTTTTTCCAATATGTGACATATGTTTTTTCCACTCTAAAATCTGATGCACACCAAAGCTGAAAAAACAACTTGCTCGAATGCTTGCTACACCGGCTTGATGTGCTTTAATTTTTCGAATCTATACACGACCTCTGAACGTTTAATTTGAGCATCTTCAGAAATTCAGAACAGTCTAGCTTGCCTGTATTCCAAATATTTTATTATTTATTATTATTATTATTACTATTTACTATAATATTTATATTGCACATAAATCAATGGAAGTACATTTTCAAATGCGCAATATACTGTAGGTCGAAATATAGGTCGCAATATAGGTCGTGCATTGAAGAGCAATTCAAACGCCTAAGTGAACAAAAAATGTTAAAATGTACAAGTAAGTAAAACTTTATACCATGTACGTGGCTTTGTTCGAGGCTTTCATGGTAATGATAAAAACGTTTTCATTATTCAGCAAAATTTAATTACAAGTATGAATTTGATCAAGATTCATTACCTCATTGCGTCAGTCTGCTCCATATGCTCTGCGTGGGCTTATTTCAGGCATGTTGACAGAGTAGCCCACCCCGGGTCTTATTATAACATTACATATATGATCACATATGGAAATATATAGTTCAGTGTTAAATTACAGGGCCTCTGCCTACTCTTCAACACTGAACAATATATTTTCATATGTAATCATATATGTAATGTTATAATAAGACCTGGGGTGGACTAGTCCCAGGCACTCTCTTCAATGTTATTATTTTGTTCCTGGGTTTTCTTGGAGTATCTGTGTAAAGTCTGAACAGTCACATCGCACTTAGGTACCACGTGCTATCGGCTGACATGCTTCAGGGGTCAGTTATGCGCCCTGATTGCGTCACATATCGATCAGCGCTCAGCGCATTATAAGCCAAATGGCTCTAAAATTCCGCTTGTAAATCAGAATGTATGATTCTGTATGGGACGGCCATAAGCATACATCCATACATCTAACTGATCGATATGGCTTTGAATGCATTGACATTTGGGTACTTAATTATTTCAGCATGTAGATGATATAGGTTTAAATTATAACTTCATTTAAAGTTCATTAATTGGTGTGTTAATTCCTATGCTTCGTGCACAATGACGTTAAATTAAGTGCTGTTACACTATGCAATTTGTCTCGCAACTTGACTTGCAAATTTCCTGCGACACATCTGACCGTCTGCCAACGCAGGCTACGACATATGTTGCACGTATATACTATAGATCTTTAAGCCAGTTTTCCACTTCGACCATATTGTAACGTATCGTATAGCATTTTCTTTTGTTTCGAAGTCATTAGTTTCACTCTGGTGCTTAGGAAACAAAGAAAAATGCTACGCTTCATTACGATACGATTGAAGTGGAAAACTAGCTGGCTAAAGCCAGTTTTCCACTTCAATCGTATCATGACGTATCGTACGACACGAGTGAAATTTAACTCAGACAGTTTTAAAGGATTGTGGTACCGATTAATGTCATATATAAGTACAGTCATTTCGTGATAATATTTCAACAATTATGATTTGAACTGGCCAATTGTGACGTCAGCGTCACGGATATAAGATGACAAGCAATTATATGTTCTAGGAGCTCTATTAAAATAGCTATTTTGAAAAGTTAAAGTGTTTACTCTAGGAACGTTAGTTAAAATATTTTTAGTTGAATTATGTCTCGTGACACGACCACTAGACCTCACAACAATGTTTGAATCATATGACTTCAGAGCTTTGAAGAAATATACCAAATCCAGGTACTCGTGTCAGTAGCACAAAGGAAATAACCCTGTTGATAGCAGCCGATCTTTATAACTGGTTTCAGACTGAAACGGTAAGGATAATATAAACCTTGTTGCACTCCGTTGTACTTTCTCGAGATCAAGGTAAGTGCTACAGGTTGTGGTGACCATGCAGACTTGTGAGCTATACACGAAGTGACTTCGAATTACTAATGTTTTATACAGTGCGGGTTCTTATACGTGGATCGCGCATGTCGGCTAAAGTCCTTCTTATGAAACCCAGCATTCTGTTGGCCTTTGTACATACAGCATTAACTTATTTGCTCCATTTGAAATCTTAGATCCACTCTAGTGCTCAAGGAACAAAGAAATACGCTTCGGTAGGATACGGTTGAAGTGGAAAACAGTGCTTGCGTCACGCAATTTTTAATTTTTAATACAGAGAACTTCTGGAATGCACATTGCATTGTGGGATACGTTTGGGTCAATAATTCATTGTTTGAAAATTACGTGATGTAAGCGCTTCTAAGGTCCATTGCACAGGGTAACGCCCTCTGCAATCGTCGAGTCTCGCAACATTTTTGGGGCAAGAAGCGTTTCACATAGTTATATTTATTAATCAGTGGCGTAGCCAGAACGATAATTGGGGGGGGGGGAGGGGGGGGTCATATTCATATATTCGTGTTCTGCTTTATTAATTCTTTTGAAATCAATTGTTTTTATGGTATGTGAACACGAATATATGAATATGCCCCCCCCCCCCAATTATCGTTCTGGCTACGCCACTGATTTATTTGTATTATAAATTTACTGAAACCGCAGACGGCTATAGAAAGTATCCAATTATTATATAATTATAATCATTAATGTGGCGGTTAGAATTATATGCTTTCGCAGGAAATTAATATCCTTAAAATTTGCATGGAGTATCTCTCAAGAGTAAAGGGGCCATTTGCGACCAAGCATTTTATAGAATTTTATGATAATAAAACATTATTCAACAAATAACTACTATACAACTATATACAAAAATTTACATTTCAAAATTAGTAGTAACTAGAGGATGTATCATGCCATAAATTATGTACAATGGGCTAATTGCGCATTCTGTTTATTCTGCCCGACAAAGCAACACAAACGTTTGCTAAGTTCTAGTCTAAACTTATCGGGAAGTTACGATTAAAGGTCTTCCCTCGGGACGTCAACGAAGGGCCTTCACTCGAAACGTCGAAGTTCCGCTTTTATTTTTCAGGTACAATACAGCTAGTAGTTGTATCTCTCTCAACCGCAGCTGTCTTGTTATCGTCTTTACATACACTGGCCGACAGACCGTTCATGTTACACAAGGCAATTTTGCTAGCACTAGTCGCTATACTCAATTAGTTTATCCATGCTATGTATCAGGAATTACGTTGCAAGTTGCAAGAATATAATTGCCCCGTGTAAACACGGCCCTACACTGATGCCTCTGAGCGGATGAGAAAGATGAAGTTAGGATTCGAAAGATTTGTTTAATCAGAACCGTGCGTTGGTTAGTCTGAAATCGTCCAAATTACAGTACGGTTTCGAGTTCATTCAGTCTCACACGGTTAATTTGCCTTGTACGTTCACATGGGTTGTATGAAACCAGACGATAAATTCGGGCACATACAGCTTACTGTACGCCGTCTTTAGTGAATTGCGAACAAGCGGAACCGGACGGATTATAGACGAATTAGCGCACGGTTCCAAATTCAGTCGGTCTTGTGTGAACGTATAGTCTTAGTCAATGACGGCAGAAAATAATTTTCTATCTGTCCTCTCAGGGGGCAGAAGCCAAGGAATAAATGTAAAGTTGGAGTTTTCCAAAAGGCACTTATGAAAACTTGGGGAAAGGCACATGCCATGTGCCTACGCCACCTATATCTTCCTACGATAGATCCTACGCCACTGTATCTTCTTCTGACAGATTTCTACCAAAACATTGCTTAAGGACCTTGCATCCTTCGTTACCAAGTGTTTTGTTTCCCCAAAAGAAAATGAGGCAGTTTAGTGTCGAGTTCATTGCCACAAGCGAATGTGTCCAAACTTTAAGATGCACTATCACATTTATTGTATCCAGACGTTTTCTCCATATTGCTAGTACGATAGCGTTTGGCAAATGACTGAGGAAACTAGTAAAAACAATTAGTAGACATGTTTTAGCCAGGAGAAAGTCTTGAGATGTTGAAAGTCTTGAGATTCTTGGCGAGTTTGGTGTTTCAGGTTGCTGTTGTTTTGCAATAACGGATGCTGCTGCTCCACTTTCATAGTGTACAATGATATTCTGTGTAATTCCATGCTGGACATGTACACGTTGTCTTGCAACAGAGAAAATAACAGCATACATGTAGAACGTACCAATACATATAAGTAAAGCTAGTAACGTAATAATCATATCAATTGAAAGCGAAAACAATGGCCCTAAAGCCACTAGGGCACAAATTAACCACAGGACACTTAGAAACATAAAACATTTTTGTTTCGTTATGCGGTTGCGGTGAAAAACTGAGTGCACTATGGATAAATATCTCTCAATATTCAAAGTGAAAAATGTCATTGTTGACATTCCTGATAACCATACAGCTATTGTTTGAGAAAGAATCTTGTAAGAACATTTTGAAGTAGCAGTCATCTCAGAGATAGAGTTGATCAGAAACATTGGCTGCACAATGACTGTGACAGATAGATCAACGCAGGATAACACCATGATCATGAAATAGCAAATCTTCTCTCGTAGCCTTCTGGTTTTCCAAAATATCCAGATTACCATTGTATTAAGAAAAGTTCCCAGGATAGCAAAGAGAAAGTTCACTGAACATGCTATCACATTGTTAATAATATATAATCTCGATGGCGTTTTAACAACATAAGTCATGAAACATCGTGTAAGAGTGATGTCGCTCGTTATGTTTTCAACTGTTGTGTTGTTCCAACGGTGCATTTTCAGTAATATCATACAACAACTATGGTCTATTCTTTTTGCAGTTTACATTTGCATTATGCGAAATTAAAAGCAAAAATAATCCAAATTATACATGGATGGCAGTGTCCTGTATACTTTCTGTGATTGAGGCTTTTCTCATTGGACCATCTGTTTTATTGTTTAAATAGATGAGTAAAGACACCTGCAGTGATTTAAATATATAGTCAGCGAATGGAAGACCTACTACTAATCATTTAATTAAATTACCAATTTCACAATTTGGATTAGTTTTTTAATGAGTATACAAAATAAATTATTTTGGTTACCGCAGTGTTTTAAATATGAAAATATATAATAATTAACTGTTTTTTTATCTGCTTCTGCAGACTTCGTAAAACAACCAAAATCGAATGTCCTAGTCGCTTACGTTTGGTGAGCGAGATTCATATTGAGATTGTAGCAACCAAAGTGCTACGAATTCGAATTCCCCGTTACGAGATAGACACGACAGATTATATTTTCTTCACTTTAATTAATTAATAACGTTTGTCGGTTTTCTAAATAATAAGTTATATAAAAGAATGAATCCTACCTATAAGTCGATTTTACAACAATAATACTAAATACATACGTATACATTATACAAATGTCTTACCTCACAATGAGGGAATCGCTCTAGTTGTCACATAAATAATATATCTCAACAGTCTTCTGTTTATCGTTCTTCAACAAAGTTCTAACATATATAAACTAAACAGGCCGAAATTCGCCCTTAAATAACGTTTGGTTTTGAGCCTGCATACCGACTGACTTAGTAATCATAAATTATAATTTGGGCTTTACATACCGGCCCCTATCAAGTACATGTCTTGATATCAAATTATTAAACCAAATTAATTATCGACTACATTATTACACTTAAACTTATTCTAATCTAACTCTATAAATACTATAACAATTATAAATGTTTTAACTTACGTATGGAGTCCAAATAATTAACAGTCTCCTTCCAACAAACATAATTTCCTAATGTCCCTTTTGAACTTCGACTTCGATGTGCGCACCAGGACTTGTCGTACTCGACCATTCTTATCAGGATACACCTCTTCGACAATACCAAGAGGCCACTGTTCTCGACACAATCTCTCGTCCAACAATAACACGAGATCTTTGGGTTGTAAATTTCGCTTTACTGTCAGCCATTTCTGTCGTTCCTGGAGTAGAGGTAAATATTCTTTAACCCATCTTTTCCAGAATGCACTCGCGAGCTGTTGAGCTTGTCTCCATCGTTTAGAGAACTTGTCGGCGACTACCCAGCTTCCCAAAGGAGGTGGTTGCTCTGATCGCAAGAGAAGTAGCTTGTTTGGGGTTAACGGTTCAAGGTCATTCGGATGATCTTCTTGACGGGTCAATGGACGCTCGTTCAGAATTCTCTCCGTCTCTGCCATGAACGTCACCAAGGATTCGTCATTCACTCTCTGTCCTTGTAACAAGGCTTTCAATATTCGTCGAATCGAGCGAATAAGCCTCTCCCAAATGCCACCCATGTGGCTGGCAGCAGGGGGATTAAAGTGCCACTGAATGTATTGCTTTCGTAAACGATCTGTGATGGTTGACTGGGAAGATTTGGCGCGAAGTTTCTCAAACTCTTCTTCGAGGGCGGAATGTGCTGCTGTAAAGTTGGTGCCGTTATCACTATAGACGTCAGATGGTTGTCCACGTCGACTCACGAATCTACTGAAAGCACAAAGGAAGGATTCCGCATCCAGGGAATGGGCGATTTCAATGTGTACTGCCCTCATCGTCAGGCAGGTAAACAAACACCCGTATCGTTTCACCTGGGCCCGACCTTGGCTGACAATAAATGGACCGAAGTAATCCACTCCCACGAAGGTGAACGGCGGATTCAGTGGAGTGATTCTTGCTTCAGGAAGAGGAGCCATTATCTGCTCTCCGGGTTTTGCATTTCGTTTTTGACAATCGATACAACCTTTGATAACTCGTCGCACCTCGGTAGGACCATGGATAATCCAAAATGTCTGACGGATGTTTGCCAACACTTGGGTAGGTCCTATATGTCCTTCACTTGTATGATAGTCGCGAATGATCAACTCGGTAACATGATGATGTTGGGGCAAGATCATCGGGTGTTTAAGGTCGAATGACATCGAAGACCTTTCGAGTCGACCCCCCACTCGCAATACTCCGTCAACTAAGATTGGACTCAACTTTCGCAGTTTGCTTTTCTTCATTATGAGATCCACTTTCGAAGATCCTTGTCCGTCAGCTGCGGTCATTTCTAGAACCCGTATTTCGTCCTGGAAACATTGTTGCTGCACATACTTCACGATTTTAACTGTCGCCACACGAATTTCTCGAACTAACAACCATCCAGACAGAGCCTTTTGCTGTATTCGGGTGTGCTTCCTTTGTCGCAGAAACGATAGAAAACGTAGTAACCAGGAAACACCTTTCTGCAATGCATACCACGAAGAATAACGTTCCAAGAGCTCATCCGTGATGTTAATGTTCTTTTCTGCTGAAATCTCGTTAATCTGCGCCGTCCTTCGCCATTCCAAATGTTCATCAGGCATTTGCTTTATTTCGTTTGGAGTCTTTGGCCAGTTATCTTCCTCACGTTTCAAGAATTCAGGACCATTGAGCCACGCTTGTGTTTTCTTCAGATCATTAGGATCAATACCACGAGACGCACTATCAGCAGGGTTGTAGGCGGTCTCAACATATTTCCACTGTGATGGTTTGGATAGGTCATGAATTATAGCCAATCTGTTCGCTACAAACGTCTGGAAACGCGTAGATTCGTTGTTAAGATATTGCAGCACAACTGTGGAATCTGTCCAGAACACGATACGATCCACTGAGATCTCCAACTCTTCTTCTACTTGATGACTTAACTTCACTGCGAGGACAGCCGCGGTCAGTTCTAATCTCGGGATTGTAACTTGCTTCGTAGGCGTTACACGAGACTTTCCAACAAGAAAAGACACGGTTAGCTGATTGTTCACATCGACTAGACGCAAATACGACACTGCTCCATACCCGAGTCTGGAAGCATCAGCAAAGGTGTGCAGTTGAACATCCCTCAGTTTCTCTGCCAAATTGAGCTTGACACAACGTGGAACAGCGACGGTCAACAGCTGAGCTAACGATTGTTGCCAGACGTTCCAGGTCGACAATTCTTCTTCCGGAATCTCTTCATCCCAGTCGTAATTGATAAGACACAAACGTTGGAGAATTTGTCTTCCCGGAAGGATGAACGGTGATGCAATTCCAAGAGGATCATATATTGAACTGATGAATGACAACATAGCTCTTCTCGTCTTAACGTCCTTTCCTTCTACAATGCGAAAGCGGAATGTATCTGTTTCAACATCCCAAATGACTCCTAATGCCGCTGACTCTGGAAACGATTCAAAGTCGAGATTAACCAAAGAGGATGCTCGTTCACATGGAGGAATTGACGCCAACACCTCACGACTATTACTTGCCCATTTGGTAAGATTGAAACCACCTTTCGCCAACAGTGCGCGTAATTGACTAGCAATCTTCGTAGCCTCTTCAACAGTCGCAACTGACTTCAGGCAATCATCTACGTAGAAGTTCTTTCTAACGGTATTGACTGTTTCTTTATCAAACTCGCATTCATGATCTTCAGCGGTCTTCCGGAGGCCAAAGTTTGCACAACTAGGTGACGAAGTTGCTCCGAACAGATGCACTTGCATTGAATAATCTTGCGGTGGTTTGGAAACATCAGCATCTGGCCACCAGAGGAATCGTAAAGCTTCACTATCTTGTGAATTGACTCTGACTTGGTGAAACATAGCCTCGATGTCAGATGTTAGAGCAACCGATTCCTGGCGAAATCGAATTAAAACTCCAATCAGCGTGTTGGTCAAGTCCGGTCCATGTAATAATTGATCGTTCAACGAGGTATCTTCAAATTTCGCAGCACAATCGAAGACCACACGGACTTTATCGGGCTTCTGTGCGTGGAACACCGGGTGATGAGGTAAATACCAGATTCTACCAGTCGTACTCTCGCTTTCGCTCTTTTGATTTTCTTCAGGAACTTTAGCAGCGTAACCCTTCTTAAGGTGATCTTCGATGACGTTCCGATACTTTTCTTTCAAACGTGGATCTTTCATCAAACGCCGTTGTAAGGAAATTAATCTCCTTTCGGCCATCTTTCTATTGTTAGGAAAGTTAGGTGAACCGACACGCCATGGCAATGCTATTTCGTAGTGTCCATTTACCTTCTTCGCAGAACTTTCCATAATATTCAAGGCTTTCTGATCCTCCAATGACATTCCCTTTCCCAAATGAAAGTCAGTTTCACTAAAGTCCATTCGAAACATTCTTTCAACTTGCTCTTGAAGGGTGTTATCTTCTTTCCGAATAAAATTTATTAGAAATTCTTGCTCGATTTCTGTTCCAATCGGTCCCATGAGTGTCCAACCCAGAGGTGTCCTCACCGCGTAGGGTTCTTTTCGCCCACCGCGTCGTTGTTCTAAAACCCAATGGGCTTCTGGAACATCACTACCAATGATCATACTAACGTTCTCGTTTTCCAACTCTGGGAACACGATTCCATCCAAATGAGACCAACCAAATACGTCGTTAGTTGTAGGGATTGATCTTTTGGAAATAGGCAGATTGTTGACAGTCCATGCCCGGGTGATGTCGACGTTCTCACTCCCGTCTAGATCTGAGACTATCAATCTGACTTCTTCTCCACGATTCTCTTTCGTTCCTTGGTTCACTGTTGTTCAGGAGAATGTCGTTGGAACACCTGTAATCCCGAGTCGCTTAACGAGACTGCTATCGCATAGAGATACATCTGACCCATCGTCTAACAGCGCATATGTTTGAACTTCGTGTGCTTCATCGATACCACGAACTGTCACAGGGATTACACGCAAACGAACTCCTGGCCTACCGGCCCCAGTGGCTGTGCAATGACCTTTACTTGTTTCTCCTTCTATCTTGTTATTCTTGTCAACTTGTTCTTCGACCTTCAGAGATTCTTTCTCTTCTTTGGACTGCGGCACTGGATGCAACAAGCTGTGGTGACGTTGTCCACATTCAGCTACCATACACGTTTCTTTCCGTCTGCACTGCTTTTCGAAGTGGCCCTTACAAAGACATAAGTTGCAGAGCTTCTCGTTCCGTACCACGTCCTTTCTGACATTCAAAGGTTCTTTTCTGAAGGAGAAACATCTTTCTAACAAGTGTCCAGTCTTCTTACAATGGTAACACGTAAGAATTTTCAATCCGCCTTCAGCTGCAAAGGATGCGCCTTGAGGGTTTCTCTTTGATTTCGGATATTTGTCATCTTGAGGCTTTGCACCAATCAGTTTACCAAATGCGCTACTCGCCAATTTCGCTTTTAAAGTCACGAAACTTGTCAAATTCTTGAAAGTAGGGATTTTCCCTTTTTCCAACAAAGCAAAGGCTTCTTTCGCCCACTCCGCCTGTATGTACCTGGGCAGCCGTGCAACGATTCTCTCAAGATTGCTTTGAGCATTAATTTCAGACTCGCAGCCGAGTCGAGTTAAGTTGATCTGACAATTCTCCATATCTCGCGCTAGCTGTAATAACTTCTCGCTATCACCGTCTCTAATTAAACCTCCCTTCATCACTTTGTCGATATACGCATGCGTGATTATGTGACTTTGACCAAACGAATTATGGAGTATTTCTTTAGCCCTCGAGAATCCTTCTTCATCAGGCAACATCACACAGTTACTAATGGCATCTTTGATCTTTCGCAATACCAGAACAAAGCTGAATAAGATAAGCTAACCTGGATCTTGGTTCTTGTTCCCTTTCTTCAATGTTAGTCTTGAAATTTTCTATAAATTTTGGGTAGTTCATCGGATTCCCGTCGAAACCAAGACAGACCCGTTTTGGCATTTCAAACCCTCTTCTGATCGATGAACCAAGAGTATTAGCCATCAGGATTAATGATTCTTGTTGACTCTGGAGAACTCGGTACAACGGGTCAGATTCACCAGCACCATAACTCCCTTCCTCTCGCTTGATTCTCCGAGGTGATACTTCAGATACAGATTCGTTTGACCATGTGACGTTTTGTTTAGCTGGAGCGTTCTGCGGTGGATGAGAATCAGGAACTCGAATTTCTTGCGATTGGAACTTTTCCATCTTTCGTATATGTGAATCACGTCGAGGTTTCTCAATCACTTTTGAGTTTAATGGCTTGGTGAACTCCGATAAGTCTTCCCTTGCCAGCTCCCTGCGAAGCCCAATTCTCTGATTTGCTGGCTCAGCTCTCGAATCATCTCGTGCTTCTGACTTTGTGTAATTTATCGATAACTTCTCAGCTTCCTCTTCCAACTTAGCCCTTCCGATGTCATTCTCCAGCTCTATAAGTTCACGTCTACGTTGTAGCTCAGCACGCTTCGATTCCATTTCTTGCTTAATTTGCACCAATTCTAGTTGATGATCAATGGCCTGTTGCTGGCGTTCAATCTCTTGCATCTCCATATATCGTTGTTTTTCTAGTTCAGCTTTCGCTCTTCTAATACTCGCACTTTCAGATGCTACACTTGTTTGAGTGCTTCGAATCACACCCACCTTGCGTCGGGATTCAGGCATCTCATTTCTTGACTTGAAATATTGCAATTCCGTCATACCGGGCGAGACACGATTCAAACTTGATCCCCGACTGCCGATATCCGAGGCTAAATGACCATCACTTCGCATGTTTGGGTATGCAAATTCGTTCGATGTTGTTAACCTTTCGTGTTCATTCACGCGAAACGTCGTTAATTCGCTTGGCTCAAAGCGTTCTTTAAAATTCGTCTTTAAATCAACATCAGCGATTGCTATCCATTCTCCGAGCTTCCGATCTAAATGTTCCTTTGCGTTGCAAACGTTAGTATATCCTTTCGCTATCTCACGGAGTTCAGTGACTTCGTCCTCGTACAAACAATCTTTAATGTCTTGACAGCATTTTGAATAACTCATAAACGTTTTATCCAGCGACGCTTTTTCGACTTGAACTTCTTCATAATTGCTTCTATCAGTCATTAACTGTTCTATCCGTTTTTGAACTCGAGTTATAGCCCCACGATACGCTGAGTTTGACGCCTTTAAACTTCGCAGTTTCTCTTCACGAGCGCCATCAATATTTCGGCTTAATCTAGTTCGGCTTGGCCGTTCTGCTTCGTTGATCGCCATGTCGCTTTCGGACGCCATATAATAACCAGATAAATTCTTGTGAGAAAACTTATGTAGCAACCAAAGTGCTACGAATTCGAATTCCCCGTTACGAGATAGACACGACAGATTATATTTTCTTCACTTTATTTAATTAATAACGTTTGTCGGTTTTCTAAATAATAAGTTATATAAAAGAATGAATCCTACCTATAAGTCGATTTTACAACAATAATACTAAATACATACGTATACATTATACAAATGTCTTACCTCACAATGAGGGAATTGCTCTAGTTGTCACATAAATAATATATCTCAACAGTCTTCTGTTTATCGTTCTTCAACAAAGTTCTAACATATACAAAACTGAATAGGCCGAAATTCGCCCTTAAATAACGTTTGGTTTTGAGCCTGCATACCGACTGACTTAGTAATCATAAATTATAATTTGGGCTTTACAGAGATGAACGTACTAATATACTGATATACCCCAATCATACGCGGCAATGGCTAAAGATGGCGACATGAAATCGCCAGTGTAAACACCCTGCGATTTAACTGCAATTCCAGCGCAACTTCACCGCGACAAGCTGCAAATATTTCGATCGTGATCGAAATTTATCGCAACTCGCTGCGATTTTTCGGCAGGCGTTGTCACCTTCAATAAAGGCTTTATCAAAGCCAAGCAACATAAACTTTGTTTTTAAAAGCAATATTGCACAGGTAAATCTACTATATAAATGCAGTTAACTAACAATAACATATGAAATAAAAACGAAGTACAACGAACTACTGCAATACTATAAATATTTGCCGCGTTCATTTTGGTCTTTATCTTTGTACTGACTTCAGAACAAAAACTGGTGTTTCTATTCGTTTGTGTGCGATCGAGTGCATGGTAGTTCAATACAGAAAGTTTCAGACCCATTTTGCATGACATAAGTCTTGCCCTTGGCTTTTATACGCTGTATTCTTATAGAATAAACTAAGGGACGGAACATTAGAAAAGTGATGGGGGGGGTGATCAATTTCCAACGTGTACGATTATTTTTTCAAATTTTTTTGCTTGAGTCGATTTTTTTTTTAAAAATCAAAAAATTTTTCGGACTAACATCAGTTTAGTTAAGGTTCAAAAGACATTTTCCCTGACAAATTCTTCTTAATTAAAACATGATTAAAACGCTTTTTTTGCACCAATATCTGCTACATTTAGGTTTAGAAAATTTTTTCTCACACCATTACTTATATCAAAAACTTTTTTTTTTATTTCCCAAATTTGGGGGGCCACCCCTACAATGTACCTCTGATAGGCCCTGTCAACTTATAATTTTCCCTATTGAAAAGTCTCTGCACGAATTTTTTTTTTCAAACTTTTCTGGTGCACGAATTTTTATTTTCTGTTTCCTCTGCTCGATTTTTATTTTTGCTTTTGCACACCCCCCATCACTTTTCTAATGGTCCGCCCCTAAAACAGGCGACGAACAGTCGGGAATTTTTTTCTACAGCCAATCACTTGTCAGAAAACAGCCGTAAACAACCTAATTAGAATGAAAATCTTTGTATTGCTTGTAAACTTGAGTCATGTGTTGAAAATTTAACTCAGTTTACAAGCCAGTATAAAATCGGGAAAAATCGCTGCAAATTGCAGTGTTGTCGCACCAAAGTTGCAGTCAAAATCGCAGGGTGTTTACATTGGAGATTTCAAAAAATCGCCGTAGAAATCGCAGTGAAAATTGCAAGTGTATTAAAACAGGCCTTAAAAAGGACGAGAATTTAGAATTTAGAAGTTTTCATGTTATTTCAAAACTATTAAAATTTAATCTCAGAGCGGTGCGCTTTATAGTTTTTAATAGGGTTAATATGTTAGGGTTAGAATTGGGGTTAGGTTTAGGGTGAGATTTAGGATTATTATAAGCCAGCTAGGTTATCGATTCGTTCAATCGTTTGCGTTTTAACCACTGAGCTATAATATTACTGGAGGAGGTGCTCCTATCTCTCGTCAGTCAAAAAAGTGTCCGCAAAAACATGGCGGATTTTCACGTTTGCTGACGCCATATGGTTCCTCCGGCTCATGGCAATTACCACTGACCAACCGCGATCCTAAGCATCCAACAAAGACGTTCGCCCCCCTGTTTTTGACAAATATTTTATGTTTTCAAGACAAAATCATGCCGTTTTTCTCCACTTGTGGATGCAAAAATTCGCTGTAAAGACTTTAAAAGGAAGAATATTTCTTCTGAAAGGTAAGATTTGTGAAAATTTTAAGTTTTTACCTTTTATTCGACTAATTTTCGATTGGCAAAGTCAGGGGCCGATATGCGTATAAAATCGAGGTATAAATATGTATTTGTCAAACACTTATATTTTATATTTACACCAATACTTCTGGAGCAGACATAAAAAACGTTGTACATGGTTATTTATACATTGTGTACATACATTTTCTTTCTAGTTTCAGGCACTGGCTTTTGTTTTTAGTGCCAGTTTATTAGTTTAAACAGCATGCTGCTCATGCAATCTGTAGTTTGCTTTGTTTCATAAAGAGCAGTTAGCACTAGATTTATATACAGTATAAACAAGCTGTATTGTATCCTTCACAAATATTATAAACTGCTAGTCTTGCTAGGTTTTGTATCGGCATTTACCAATTGGCTGTGTAATTTAGGCTTTTTTTGTGGGGTTGTGCACTACATTTCAGTTCAGCATTGAGCTATCATCGACTTGTGCATACCCAAATTTGCATGATTTATACTTATATCATTCTTGCATTGGCATTACCTTGAATGCTAGTATGGGTCAACCTGACAACCTCTATGCCTCATAAAAATTTCCAAACAAAAAACCTCCTTCACTCAGAAAATACCTCTGTCATGGGAGTCTTGATTTATGTTTAGCCATATTTATTTAGATCCCTTAGAGGTTAACCCATTGAGTCACATTGCACCCTACTTTATTATTTTACTCTGTCTGATGCCAGACAATTTTACTCATCAAGTAGAGAGTGCTGGTGCTTAATGGGTTAATAACTAGCCTATGTGTATAGTTATGAGTCGCATTGCACCCTGATGCACCCTTTACTCTGTCTAATGCCAGATTATTTTACTCATCAATTGGGGAGAGCGATGGCGCTTAATGGGTTAATTCAGATTTATACAAAGTAGGGGTGGTGGTCTGAGCTAACTGGCCAGAACCTACAGTATGCACCCATTGCAATTAATTTTGAAATGTACATGAAACAGTTTCCATAAAATAAAACAAACCATAGAATAAAACAATCATAAACAAAATAACTTTATTTCTCATTTCTATTACAGGCATCAAAGTGATATGTAATTATACAAGAACTGAAGCAAAAATGTTCTTGCTGTAACAGATGTATTGTATCATGATAGTTGACATTGATGTATATGATCTTATTTGGGTGTAACAATGTGTAGTAATACAGTATCTGTAGTAGTAATCTGTTATTGCTACCAAAAGAAAATTGAAAAGAGATAAACATGCCAAACAGCCAAAGTCACAGCTCATGGGACTACAAAGTGATAATTATACTAGAATAACTTGATTATACAGTTAGTTCAAACTGATTGGGTCATTCAAAAAAATATCCACACCCCTAATGGAAGAGATGGGAGGTTGAGCTTCCTCCCACTTTTGGACACCCTTAGCTAATACTTTTACTATTATCAGCAGTTGAGTTCTGCCCACGTCAGACAGCACTTCAGACATCTGTGGAGTTAGTGTTTATCTTTTCTGGAATGACTCATTGGTGATTGGTAGTTAATAATTATTCATTGAAGAATTTAAATTAAAATAATACAATTTCAACTGCATCATTGTGGTGGTAAATAATTCTGCAATAAACAAGAATAGGTTATATAGGTTACTCTAAAAGAGAAAAAGCATGAAAAATCATATCAAGGGAAAATGAGGAATACAAAAGAAATATACTAGGTTTTCAGACGATGCTCGAACTTTGTTGGCAAGTTGAGTGACCCCTTAAAAATACATTGTTTTTTCAGAATTATATTTATCAAGAAACTATTAGAAGTTACAGAAACCATAATCCTATGTGTATGTACACCAAAAGCTAAAAAAATATGAACAAATATAAAGGCCCCAAGCTCTTCAGCCATAGCTGAAACGTCGAGGTTTATTTGTCTTAAGCCGCGTTCACACTAGCGGCCCAGGCCTGGCCTGGACCTGGCCTGGGTGTGAACAGGTTTTACCTGGCCTGAGCCTGGCCTGGCCTAAGTCAAGAAATCCAGGCCAGCAAATGTAGGTGGCCTGGACCTGGCCTTGATCATCACTGGTGTGTAGGGGTGCACCGGAACTCGGTTCCGGCCGGAACCCCGATTTTTTAGAGTTCCGGTTCCGGCCGGAACTAGTAAAAAAAGCATGGCCGGAACCGGAACTCTGTCGTTTTCAGGGAGATAGAATATCAAACGTTTTTGTGTCTAACAAAAGGTCACAGTAGGAAGAAAGTTGGACTACGCAAGGGAAATGTACACTATTAACACTTCATTATGACGTTTAACGTTTGTCAGTCTTTTTATTCTGACATTTGCGAACTCTCTACTTGATGATTTGAAGTGTCTGCTTGTCTGGCAGCAGACAAAGTAACATATGACTATATATGGCTTAATAAATTAGTTCCGGTTCCGGCCGGAAGTTCCGGCCGGATCTTTTTTCCAGTTCCGGTCGGATCCGGTTCCGGCCGGAACTTAAAAAACCGGTTCCGGTGCATCCCTACTGGTGTGAACGGGTTTTTCCTGGGCCTGGCCTGGGCGAGGCCCCGTTACCATCGCAATATCTGCCCACGATAAAAACTGGTCAGATGATTGTCATACAATTGGAGGGAAAAACATTCAAAGCGCGAAATTAAATACTTTAGTGGAACACAAGGATGTTTATATTGACGCCTGATTGCTTTGGCCTGGAGTTGGGCGTCAAGCCAGTGTGAATGCGTCACAATTGGCCCAGGCCAGGTCCAGGCCAGGCCTGGGCCGCTGGTGTGAACGCGACTTTAGTCTCAGCTGGTTGCATCATCCTGCACTAACTAGAACCCCCACCCAAGAACTACAATCGGCATAGTGATTCAAAACTCCTTATTAAGGTACTCCGACAGCAGAATGAGCTTCCTTGAGTACCTCTAGCTTTTGCATATAAAGTTAGTACAAAATATAAAATACTATAAATTCTCCTTCTTATTCCCTCAAAATATAGTGGTAAGTACGTACTAGCTGGTAGCACATTATACCGTACTTTCATATGTCATTATAAAATCAGTCCCCAGGGTCAAATTAAGATAATTTGATATTTGTAAAATGCACAGTTTCGTGCCACCTACAGAAAATTATAAATTTTCAAAATAGTATCATGAAATACAAACTGCACAGCAGGCTTATTCAAAACATCATAAAATATGCAACAAATAGAGCATGTAAACAAATAAACAATAGATCAAAATACCATTTTGCCCACGATTTAAATGAAACGAGGCTTTAGAGACCTTTACATACTTGTGGCTAAAATATAATACATTGTACCACAGTTAAACCCAACAATTTTTGTAGAAAATTTGCTCGAGTGTGACTCAGTGCACATGTGAAGTTATGAACTGAGAAATATTTTACCTGTAGTTGCGGCTTCAAATATCGTCTTTGCGGATGTATTTCGAGGTTTTCTGTCTTTTGAGGACGAGAATATAATGTGTACGACTTGCACACATTTGAACCAGTGGTCAAAGATACAAAAATATGAAAAAATCAAAAACTACGAGAATATACTGCAAATACTTCAACAAGCAAAAATATTTTAATAAGAACCAGGGGGTGTGAAAGTCGTAGCGGGCTCAAAATTGAGCCTGGTCAGTGGTAATTACCATGAGCCGGAGGAACCATATGGCGTCATTCTGGCGTCAGCAAAGGCCGAAATCCGCCATGTTTTTGCGGACACTTTTTGATGCCGAGCACGTCCTCCAGTAATATAGTATAGCTCAGTGGTATAGACCAATTGCGAAACTTAGTGGCCGCGCCTTCATACTGCACGAGAACGAGGCTTATTATGCAAAAACAAAACAATTTCTATATTTTTACATAGCGAAAAGTGAATTTTAGGGTTTTTAAAGTGTTTTTTCTTGAATCTCTTTGTCTTTTCTTAATATTTCGTGCTAGGTTATATAAATATTTGTTAAATTTATCTAAACATCGATTTCCCACTATATTTTCACCCGCTTTGGAGAGATATTTCGTTGTTGTTTTATCATGCGATGGAACAAACATATGGAAAAGATCAATCTAGACTTTAAAATCTGATCAAGATGCAAATAAAATAGCCAGTATAACTTAATAAACTAAAACATAACTCTTTCTACCCAGATTTTTTTAGACTTCGTGCGAGAAAAAAAGATTTTGTCAAAGGATAATAACATAAAATTTCTACAAATTTTGCCCGACATTTACTTTCATATTTTTAAAGTTAAAATCGAAAACTTGCTGTTATATTACAACTGAAACAAAATTAATCAATGTTACAACTTATTCTTTGAAAAGTATTAATAAAACAGACGGAAAATACCTGATTCTTTCTCTGGTATAATCTGCTTCTTTTAACGGACGGCGAAAAACAGCAAAACTTTGCCTCGCACGCCGCAAAAAAACAATGAAATTTGAAGTAAGACTAAATCTATGAACAAGTTAAATAAAGATTTACATAGTCAAAACAAAAATATTGAAAAAAAATGAAGAGATTACCATAAAAACGCGTCTCAAACACTGAAATTCATTTTTCGCCATATAAAAATATAGCAGAATGATTTGTTTTTGCATAATAAGCCTCGTTTTCGTGCAGTTGAAGGCGCGGTCACTAAGTTTCGCAATTGGTCTATTAATTAACAATTATTCGCCGAAGGCGAGGTGATTATCGGTGAATAAAAACCGAGACGAAGTCGAGGTTTTTATTCACGATAATCACCGAGCCTGAGGTGAATAATTGTTTTAGTATAATTTCATAGGTGATTATTTAGAAAAAAATAAATAATTCACATTTTTTCGTCATTTAATTGACAAAACGGCTTCGGCCGCCATTTTGAAAATCGCTTAGGTGATTATCGTGTAATAATCACCTCAACGGCAACCAATCAGAGTGGAGAATTTTCAATAATCACCTATGTAATTATACTAAATATTGTTAGTATAATTACAAAGGTGATTATCGAAAATTGTGGCCGCTGATTGGTCAAGCGACCTCGGATTATTACGCGATAATCACCTAAGCGGATTTTTCAAAATGGCGGCGAGTGGTTTCGTCGAAGTGACAGATGAAGAAATAAATTAAATTTTAAAGAAAATACTGTACCTAAAAGCACGAAAGAAGTGACAAAATTTGGCTTAAAAATATTTCGAGATGGGAAACTACGAGATGGGGAAACTACTTCGCATAAAACACAGTTTTATTTAAGTTGCCGTACAATAGTTTAGACATTTGTTTACGTTTGTAAAAAAAGTATTTTCTACAACAGATTTGTTTCAACGACAGTCAGAATTCACAAATGAGTTTGAAGACATCAATATTGACGGAATAAACAAATGTTTATCAAAATTCTACGTTTCTATAAGAAAAAGTGATGGAAATTACTACAAAAAGCATTCTTGATGGCGATATGAACGGCCCTGGATATAGAAAGCTAAAGTCACCGCCGTACGAAAAAAGATTGAGATGTGTTATATTATTTTTTTTTCAAATAATCACCTTTGTAATTATACTAAAACAATTATTCGCCTCAGGCTCGGTGAATATCGCTGAATAAAAACCTCGACTTCGTCTCGGTTTTTATTCAGCGATATTCACCTCGCCTTCGGCGAATAATTGTTAATTAGTATAATTACATAGGTGATTATTGAAAATTCTCCACTCTGATTGGTTGCCGTTGAGGTGATTATTACACGATAATCACCTAAGCGATTTTCAAAATGGCGGCCGAAGCCGTTTTGTCAATTAAATGACGAAAAAATGTGAATTATTTATTTTTTTCTAAATAATCACCTATGAAATTATACTAAAACAATTATTCACCTCAGGCTCGGTGATTATCGTGAATAAAAACCTCGACTTCGTCTCGGTTTTTATTCACCGATAATCACCTCGCCTTCGGCGAATAATTGTTAAATAATAGTTAAACATCGGAATTCTGTAGTTTAATTAATTGTACTTTCAGGACCGTCCCGAGCGGTATCTGGTTGGGGTGAATTAATTTGGGGCCCCTTCCTTTCGGGGGCCCCCTCAAAAAAATTTTCCGGAAAGCAAAAATTTTCGGAAAATGTTGGCGCCGAGGGGAAGTTGTCGTTTCAGCCCTTTTTCTACCTCAATTTTTCAGAAAATTCCTTAATATTAACACGTTCCGCAATTCCAGCATTCTGGGCCCCCTCTGCGCAAGTTGGGCCCCCTTTTTTACTTTTCTTTCAGTAGTTCCGGCCATGCGTACTTTATGTTTGAAGTATGTAAAAGCAAACAATGGACCAGGAACTAATGGACCAGGAAGGCAGGATTATTTCAAACCCTTAATGTTGGTTCGGCGAGGCATTTTTTAAATATATTAAATGATGGAACGAAACACTAGTCAATAAATGCCAGTTCTCGAAGTGGAGCCATTTTATATTGGCATGCAGCGTTTGCTTTAAATGTTTTGCTTTAAGGCCGAGCCACACCGGACGCGATTCGACAACACGGCGCGATTTTTCGATTTTCACTGTCCGATAACTTTGATCCTGGTTTAAGTTTCCAAATATTTAGAAGCATTATAACAGTTTGAGTTATTTGGTCTACATATCTTGTAAAGTTTCTTTTCACTGGCTGTTTTATTAACTTTCAGAAACTGAAAAATCGCGCCGTGTTGTCGAATCGTGTCCGGTGTGACTCGGCCTTTATACATGCAAACTACGCGTACTTAGTACGATGTAATTAGTAGGTAGGTAGGTAGGTAATACTTTATTTAAAATTAACAGAAAGAAGAACACGCTAGCCCCATCAATTCTAGGCTGGTTTCCATGGGGGGCGTGTTTAGATCTTATAAAAATCATTAAAAGGAAAATTTAAACTAAATATTAGTACACACATACTGTACACGTTACTATATACAAATAATTAGGAAGCATGTCGCTGTCCAACAATTGATTTAAACGAATGAGGCGACTCGGCCAATTTTGCTTCGTTTGGGAGTTGATTCCAGAGCATAGCGCCGCTATATTTAAAACTTTTTTTAAGAAATTCTCGTTTCGGTTTAGGAATTGTTAGATCAGTTGCTGTGTTTCGAAGATGATAATTAGTTTGATCTATTTCTCTTCTCACGAATGACCCCCGGAGACCTGCCGCAGTGTGGTCGTTAAGTATTTTATACATTAATACTGACTTGGCACCAGACCGCCTATTTTCAAGTGTATCCCAAGAAAGCATGTTGAGAAGATCAGCTGAGCGAGTATCATAATTAGCACCCGTTATGACTCTTGCTGCACGAGACTGAAATCTTTGCAACTTGTCTCTTAGCAACTTACCACAAGTGTCCCAAAGGGGGGAACAATAATCAAAGTAGGGCTGCACAAGACTTTTATAAATCGATTCTAAGGTATGCATTGGAACAAAGGGCTTTATACGTTTCATAGCGCCAATAGCAGCGCTCGCCTTCTTGCATATCATTTCAATGTGACTATCCCAATTAAGGGTTTCATCTAGTTTTACTCCTAGGCACATTTGTGTAGCAATTCGTGATATGGGTTTTGCATTAGCCACAACGGGTTCCTCACACATTATATTATTAAGATTATACGGGGAGCCAATAAACATCATTTTACATTTTGATGGATGCATCTGCAGCCTATTTTCTTTAAGCCAGTTACAGACATGGGCAAGATCTGAATTTAAATTTACAACAAGTTCATTTGCATCGTAGGAAGATGAAAAGATTTGAGTATCATCCGCGTACATGCATGGATTAGTTGATTTCAAACAATCGGGCAAATCATTAATATATAATAGGAATAGCAGTGGTCCCAGTATAGCTCCCTGGGGCACTCCACAGGTGATAATTTTATTACTAGATAATTCTCCATTAACATTACATTGCTGTTCTCTATTTGTTAAATATGACTCAAACCATTTTAATTCTACGCCAAAAATTCCAAATTGCTCATTCATTTTATTTACCAAAATGCGATGGTTTATAGAGTCAAATGCCTTTTTGATATCTATGAACACAACCCCATTTAACTTTCCATTGTCCATATTTTCTAGCCACTCATCGCACATTTGGATGAGGGCAGTTACAGTTGAATGCTTTGGACGAAATCCAGATTGAAACTTTGTGCATTTTTTCCGCGTAGTACTGATTTAGGGCAAACAATTAATGCTTTTAAATATTTGTTCAGTGAAAATGCTTAGGTGCGTGAAGAATTAATTCTTGGTGGGCAATTAATAATTATTATTATATGGCAAGCATCACTTCCGGTGAAATGGCGGACTGTGATTGGCTGAGAAGCACTTTCAGCGGTCCATTATTTTCCCGTAATGGACCGGCGGTTCATTACGTAAAACCAAACGCGCACATTTTAAAACAAAACAGCAAAACTAATTGAAAATTTGAAAATTATAATTTAATTTGTTATTAATAAGATATCTGCGAATGGTTTTTAGTGGAAAAGAAGGAATACATTGCTATTTTTTGTTTTGTTCGACCAAATGTGTACCACGCTACTAATATGCATTTCAAATCGTGCATTTCTTGTTTGTTTCAAGTATAAATGCCTATAAATGCCATATAATAAACTTTTTATTAACCTCGTTTGCTCGGTATGTACAGAGAAATATCGGACCTCGGTCTTTTTGTACAAACCTTTGCGCAAAACACTTGTACTGAAAATAGAGTTGTAGTAGTATTCTGTATGTGTAGTAGTATTCTGTATGTGTAGTAGTATTCTGTATGTATAGTAGTATTCTGTATGTATTGTAGTATTCTGTATGTATAGTAGTATTCTGTATGTATTGTAGTATTCTGTATGTATTGTAGTATTCTGTATGTATTGTAGTATTCTGTATGTATAGTAGTATTCTGTATGTATAGTAGTATTCTGTATGTATAGTAGTATTCTGTATGTATAGTAGTATTCTGTATGTATAGTAGTATTCTGTATGTATAGTAGTATTCTGTATGTAATAGTAGTATTCTGTATGTAATAGTAGTCCCGTACTTTTGCAATGCCACTCTTTCTCATTTGGCATCTTATATTCAGATTTTATTTTACTTAGAATCGACCACGTTTCAGGAAGTTCTTTCTTTCCAAAGGTACAGTATAACTCCCAAGTCGACAACCACACTTTCACTGACAATACGCACTACCGAAACTAAAACTGTTGCAACGCCAATGGATTATGAGAGGTTCAGATTTGACTTCCACTGACCACTAGCTACCACTGCCGCTATCTTTCACAGGCTTAATACGCATTTGATTGGTTAATAGGGTAGAATAAATGCATCTGATTGGTTAATGGTAGCGGTAGTGAAAGTCGATGTCTGAACCTGTATGCTCAGTGTGATATAGGACATTGATATGCCAACACGTTGCAACAATCGTTCTGCATTTTACTATTTCAAACTCAAAACAAAGTTTTAACCACTGCCAATATCATTGCATCTTTTTAACCTCCGTAATGCAGTTGCATATTATTCTTTGTATATAAAGGAAACAAATACATTTAAGTAGTGATAATTTTGATTTTCAGATCTAAACTATCTTCATTGGCATGCTCCAAAGAGATCAAGGGAAGAATCAAGCGGTAATAATTATTTATATATTATGTTGATTTTTGCACGATTTATTTTCCTCATTTTTATGGTATGTGTTGATCACTTCTTACAACATTTTAACACAGATACAGTACAGGTACATTCACTATAATAGTTGTGAATCAATGAAAATTGGATTACCTTGATTTGATTCATACAACTTTTTTTGTCTGACTGCAGTGGCTGTAAACCAGTGATGCATGGACACGCAATATTGGAGATACTAATTAAAATTAGGTTTTATTCCCAGAACAAACCCGCTATTATAGACAATATTTTTATAACTTTTATAACTACTATTTTTATCTGTACATATAACTCCTAGACTACTACTTAGATTTTTACTGTAAATCCATTGTATTTTTACACTAAAGATGGATCAATAAAACTATTATTATTAGGTTGCCAAAAGATGTCGCTGCTAATCTCTTTTAGATTGTGACTGTTTTAGACTGTATTGAAATGAAATTTATACGTAGTGGTATAAAACAATATTTGACAACACACTAAAAAATAATGTATTCTCCTTTATCTGCAGTTCTCATATCACAAATCACTCAAGTTCTTGAAGGAAAAAAGACAAAACATTTTAAAGATATCCAAATTCCTGATGATTACAAGGTTGGTATGTTTCATGTCCTGAACGTCAATCAGCTATTGTACTAGCGAGACGTAAGGTAGTCACTAGCTTAGTAATGGACGCCGTAAATAAAGCTAAGTTTTGAGGTGAAGTTTTTTAGGGCATGCGCTGATTTGTTCTCCGTATTTGGAAAGTAGACAACCAGAACCGACTTTTCGTGTATCGTGACTGACAACAGGCAACCCAAGTTAGGAGTCTGGGACTCTAGGGACGAAGTTGTCAACATATGTACACTGTTAATTAAAAAGAGTCCAAATGACGCAAAATGAGTTGTTCTGGGGTCAATTTTACCCCCTCCGTCGTTTTGATTCTTTTGAATTTACGGTGTAGTCATGAGAATATAACTAGCATGTAGGACGCAACGCGGCGGCTAAACCAAACTCGTTCAAATAAATAACTTTCGGTTATCCGTTGTACAGTATGTGTTAATTAAGGCAGTTTTAGGAGGTTAATGTCTCTCCATCTCCCAATCTTATCAGCTGAAGGCTTTCGGCTTCTGAGTTCTGATGACATCACGTCTCAAAACATGGGTGCATAGAATTTGATTTATTTTTTCCCAGGTTTTGTCAATCTCGGTATTGTATACAACAGACGAAGGAGAACAAAGTTTAGACTTTATCTGTGAAGACAAGAAAGAATATGACATATGGCTCATTGGATTAAAAGTGAGTAGATATTGAGCATTTTGAAGTTGATGGATTCATGACAACCAAGTACAATAATTTTGAACATGTTTTCTCTTCCTATTCTGGTAAATGATTATAATCTCCGAAAAATTACATTCACGACCCAATATTTCCACTGCCCAGTTTGGTGTCTTCAGAGTTGATCTAAAGTTGTACTGAGGCGTAAAAAAAAAATACCTGTGGTTCCGGTTTCATATCGTGAAAAAATTAGGGTCGGTAGGTCGAAAATAAGTTTTGTTTTTGAATATTTTTTTCATCGTTTTGGCAGTTTTTTGCTGGGCGATTTGCAGTAGAGTCCCAACATCAATATTAACTAGAGATGCGTATTTCCTATGGACGAATTTAGGCAATTTGGTTCAATAATTAGTGTGACAACAGACGCCATTTTGGCACGCTGTACGAGCAGCCCGCAACCACCTGGAGAAAATAGGGTCGCACGGTCAATCGCGTTGAAAAAATAATAGGGTCGGCAGAAGAAAATAGGGTCGGTCTGGAACCGGAACCACAGGTATTTTTTTTTTACGCCTGATCCACAAGCGTACCTCAGATTCAGTATTTTGTGTGGTGAAGTAATCCTGCGAGATGAGAGACAGAGAGATGAAACGACGAGACAGAGGAAACACTAAGTCATGAATGTAATTTGTTTGTGGATGACATTTATTCACTTAAACCAGAGTAGCGAAATATGTCTGATCGTGATCATGTATGCATATACTTCAAAAACTCATTAATAATTCATGAATCAATAATCCAATCTTGAGTAAGAAATTAGTCACGTGCATACGTCTTTATACCAGCTAAAGAACACTTTATTATGCAATAATACAAAAGACGATTGTTATGCAAACTATATAAAGATTTTTATATAAAGATTTTTATATAAAGATTTTTATATAAAGATTTTTCATATCTGAATTCTATTACCTGAACGTATCTATTGTTTACAATTAATATTCAGATTTGACTTATTATGCCAACGTTTTTGAAGCCATTTAAAAAACTCGCAGGTCGTGTTTTATTAGGTCTAAAGCCACTAAAATAAAACACTCCTGCTTGTTTTTTAAATAGTACTTAAAGTACAGTACAGTACACATGTGTCATTATATATCTTCGATAATTGAGGCTTTAGCGGTGAATGGTATCCAAGACAAAGAATTTATACAAGAACTAATCACTGGTGATGAAGATCCAGACAGATCAGTCAAGGGCATTGTTTCAACGCTAGAAAGAAACGGTAGCAAGGTATACTATATAAATATACATACTAAGGCCTAAGCTAGAGATTAAGTCACATGGCCCGTTTACACTTGCAATTTTTGCAGCGATTTCTAGTGCGATTTTCTTCTTCTGATGCATGTGAAAGAGTAGATGAGTTATGAATGTTCTAAGTATACATACCCTCATCTGAACATTCATAACTCATTCACTCGTTCACATGGGCGTACCGGAAGGAAAAATTTAGGGGGGCGGAAAGAAAATTGTCCGACTTTTGGGGAATGTGCCCGACTAGTACCGAAAATTTTTTCCGGAAAAATTATTTTGGCGACCTCCCCCCCCCCCCGTCGCCAAAAAAATTTCGGTCAGTCAGTGTACCATTTTAGGGGTCAAAAAATTTTTCCGGACAACCAAATTTTTTCGGAACATAAGACAAATTTTCCAAAAAACACAAAATTACCACCAAATTTATTTTTTATTTTTGACAAAATTTACAGAATTTGTCCCATTTTTTAAATTGCAAATCAAAATTGCCCGACTGTTGATCGAATATTGCCCGACTACCCAACAAACTGGGGGGGGGCTACCGCCCCCCCCCCCGCCCGGTACGCCTATGCTCGTTCACATCCATCAGAAGAAGAAAATCGCACCTAAAATCGCAGCAAAAATTGCAAGTGTAAACGGACTATGTATTGATGTAATAAACGTAACCAAAGCAAAACTAAATAAAATTTCAACAACTACTACACTGATCATTGACTTGCACACATCGCCCAGCATTTGACGTTCAGAACCCGTTGGGAAAAACAAAAGTGTACGTGCATAATATATTATTCGTATTTTCATATTTGCCCCTTAATCCAGTATAGGTCATCAGTTTCGACCTCGATTTGTTTGTTTATTTAATATACAGTATATTGCAGAATAAAAATGAGTCAACGTATGACTGCAAAAAACACGAGTTTTTTTCTGCTTTTTGTACCCACGATTTGTTGTTTACCCTGTAGAAGGAGACTGATAACCGTACAGGCACAGGTACTGGAGGCACTTCAACAGTGCGTCAGAACGGTCAGTTTATCAATCTTATGGATATTTATTTTCGTCGTAGTTTAGTTTAGTTTAGTTTAGTTTAGTTTAGTTTAGTTTAGTTTAGTTTAGTTTATATACGAAGACAATAACCGCTGATACAAATACACGCAATTACCTTTTCTAGATAAATAAATCTCAAATCATTAATAATAGATCAAAATTAATTCACCTCACTTTAAGGAGTGATTTATTCGTATGAGATATCACTTCAAATCCTCCAATTCGGACTGGATTAGATTTCAAGTCCTCGCATTTTGATCCAGTGCTCGGCTTCGCCTCGGACTTGACAAAATTGCGCGGACTTGAAATCTAATCCAGTCCTCATAGTCGGATTTGAAATATTACGTAAAATACATGCGGGAAAGTGGCAGGGACACAGCTACAGTACTTGTAGGAGAGAGTTGTTCACAACTTCATATGGTGGTATACCAGGCCTAGAAAATATATTTCTCTTCCTGGCAGCAAAATCCGAAATTCCAAAAATAAAATTTCCGATGTAAGCCAAATATAAAACCAGGCAACGTCCTGCATACTCTATGTAGTTTTCAGAGAATGTATGGTGCCGCACATTGTGGTCAACTTCAATCTAGGCACAAGACAATCTCGACTTGCAAAATGCCTTTTGAATTTTCAAACAATAAGTAAATGTTTTTGACATTCCAGTGTATAAGATAACAAAACACTCCTGCGATGCTGGTGCTGCTGGACAGTTTCCAGCACTGCAGTATACACCACAGCCCAATTAAAAAGTACCTGTATGAAGTTGAAAGTTTTAAACCAGAACAAATACATGAATATATCGCCTTTGTATCCGCACTGTAGGTCTAGCTAACTGGAATGAAAATGCCACACTGTAAATCTCAAGGAGTCTATCTCGGAGTCTATAATCAACTCCAAATTCTGTCACTTATTCTGTCACCGTTTTTGACGTTTCTGGTGATCGAATATAACACTTTTGGAGTTGATTCAATTCCTTGAAATTTATAGTACATGTCATACTGATAGCAGCCAACATCTCAGGAAGATGTGTTTGTCAAATTATATAATATTAGTTATAAGTAAAGTCGATAGCTGAAATTAAATCAATAACTGATTTGACCATGTCATTTGTCATGTGTTTTATATGAATAAATAACTAATAGAATGGAATAGTTTTCCTATGGTTATGTTGATATTAAATACCTAAAGTAATTGTTTGCACTTCGTTAACATTTTAGCTGAATCATGTGATTTATATACATGGGGTGATGGCACGAGAAGCAAGCTTGGACATGGAGAAGAGATAGAAGAACACAGACCAAGGATTGTTGATGCTTTATCTAGGTTAAAGATTAAACTGGTAGCTTGTGGTGCTAATCATATGTTGTGTGTTACGGGTAAGAACTAATGCACTGACCTATATACTTAAAGAAAACAATTCGCAGTTTCGCTATATCATTGACATCACATTTTTGGTACATGATTACAATCACAAAATTAATAGCCGACATTTTACCTCTACGACTGAGGTTCGAGTCCTGCACTGTGTGTTTCTGGTTATAATTTAGTCTTTGTGAAGATTGCTTCCAGTTCGGTCACCGCTGCAAATATTCCTTAGTCCTGATACTCTGTTCCGTTATATGAACACAGGATCAATATAAGCTGAATATATTTCTCTGAATACATGATTCATAGCAATATGATGGATAGAGTAGTGTGTCTGCACGAACATGACAAAGAAAATATAGTTGATGACTTCGTGCATGTGATAATTTGTCAATAATTCGTATGTGTGTACAAGCAAAATACAGACGGATCGTTCTTCGAGATTAACTATCTGGTTAATTCTTCTGGGGCCGGTTGTTCAAAGCACGATTGGCGCTAACCCTGGGTTAAAATTTAACCTGCTGTTTTAGTTTATGCATTTCTGCATGTCTGTTTATTTCAAAACTTCCAAGAAGAAAACTCCTACTGGTTCAGACAAGATCTCTAAAGAAATATTTCCAAAATTATAAAGAAGATGTTGGGAAGTTTGCTTTGAATATCACGTTAACCCAGGGTTAGGTTAACCCAGCTTTGAACATCTGGCCCCTGAACATCAAACTATCAGCAAATACACTCTTCTGGAAACTACTTCGCCTTGACTATAGAACCTCGTTTTCGTGATTGATAACGTTGAGCTTTATTTATCTTGCTAATGATAACGTATACTTATATACTTTATATGAAGTACACTTTGACATTATTATCATAACTGTATGGTTTCGGTAACAAGATAGGATAAAGGGCCCTAAAGCAAAGGTTTCAGTCATGAAAACCAGGCTGTATATCCAATGATTTGTACTTTCGGGAATGGTGTATTGTCTGGGATGTTTTTCCAGGACCATTGCCAGTATATAGATGGTGTTATTAGAGACCTTACGATTTTAGGACGGCAACGCGACGGCAACGGCCACTGATACAATAGATCATTGAAAAGAATTGAGTAATTACAATATATGAATAATTTAGACATTGTTCTCGCTCTGTTTACAACGCCAAATCACAGATTTTCACGTCTTGATACAACGGCTGCATTCCAAGCCGCAACAAGTTCAACTTCAAACTGGGTTTAGCAGAACTCTTCCCAGCCATAAAACCCATGTCTTCAACTTCTAAAACTGTATTAAATTCATACGATTGATAATATACGACGAACTATCTTTACTACCATTTATTTGAAGGAGTTTGTTTTGGTCGTTGCCTTCCTAAAATCGTAAGGTCTCTAGAGATTCTAGCTAGTTCGTCAACATGTATTTAGCTTGTCTAAGACGAATGGTCCGTCAGACGGATAATGTATATCGATCCGTCTCTCTAGAATAATATTTTGTATGCACATTTATTTATGTCGTTCTAGTAAGTAGTACATGAGTAGTTTATCAATTTAGTGTCTATACAAGTCTATACATCTTATTAGATTGTGGCGAGACTCTTTCTTGGGGAGCTGGATCGAAAGGTCAACTTGGTCAAGGTCATCTGCGAGATAGATTCACACCATTACGGGTAGAGGCATTACAACAACAGAATGTTGTACAAATATCGTGCAATGAATATCATTCTGCTGCCGTAACAGGTAAAGTAACACTGAGTTGGGGCCCAGTGTAGGTTGTATTATGCAATATAAAATACCCTTGGTTCGTGAATTATACCTAAAATCTAGCAAAACCTCCTGTGGTCACGAGGTCAGATCCAGTAGCATCGTCAAGTAGATCCATCACTCCAAACGTCGAAGTATTTTTAATCTGTTCAGATGGTTCAAATTAACACGAACTACATGTACGGCAGCTTTAATATCGAATCCCATCCAATACACCTTTTCGATCGATAATTACGTCATGAATACGTTTTTGGCCTGGGATCCTCGTTTTCATGAATCGTGAGCCAATCGCATCCCGTCTTGATTCATGAAAACGAGGTTCCCACTTCCCAGGCCAAAAACGTATTCGTGACGTAATTATCGAAAAGGTGTATTGAATGGGATTCGATATTAAAGCTGCCGTACATGTAGTTCGTGTTAATTATCGTATTCTGGTCCGACCCGATTCACATCGATTAAAGAGTTAATGCTGAATAAGGATCTTTGTTCATTATTATTTTGTGTCTATATATAGATGAAGGCAAACTATACACGTGGGGGTATGGTAGTATCAAACTTGGGTATGAAACAGCGAATGAAAAACAACTCACTCCCAAAGTTGTTCAAAGTCTTACGTCATACACTGTTGTTCATGCGTCTTGTGGGAAAGATTTTACTCTCGGTAAGCGCTTTATTAACGTTTAAAACAGAAGAAAAAAGTTAGCAAACAACGGTGACTCTGAAAATGAATATTTTTATTATTAGCCAATTAAGCTGTGATGCGCCCTACTTTATTATTTTACTCTGTCTAGCGCCAGAGTCTTGTGCTTTAATGGGTTAATAAGTTCGGAGTTGTCACTATTTAGTCTTGTATAAACAAATATACTGCGCGCATGCTATTTTGTCGACAGAAAATACACGCACACGACACCAAAGGTTTTGTTAGGCTATCGTTTCAGTCAAATTACTCCAAAAATATGTGCAGTGGCGATTCTAAATTAATATAAATCGTCATCGCACATACTTTTGTACTATGGTATTATTTTTCCTTATATAGCGTGCACGAGTGATGGTCAATTATTTGCTTTCGGCAACAATGAATTTTATCAACTTGGTCTTGGTGATAATGTACCTCGTCGTGATCCAACTTTGGTTGAGTTTGAAAATCTTGAAGATGAACATGTTGTACAAGTTGATTGTGGAGATTACCACACTGCCGCCATATCTGGTGAGACATAACTGTGTATGTGATTATGGTAGGGTAAGTTATGATAGGGTAGGTAGGTACGTTTGTAGGTTGTGGTTGGCTGGTTAATTGATTGGTTGGTCGGTTGGTAGGTAAATAGGTATGCATGCAGGTACTGTAGATAGGTAGATAGGTAAGGACGGGTAGATTGGTAGGTAGATACATGTAGGCCGAGGTAGATAGCCACAATCATGGACAAAACCATCTGCGACACTTTATTAAAACATTTCTTTTACTATTAGAACGAAATAATTTACTCGTTTGCCCCTTCGCTAAAAAAAATGTTGGACGTTTTAACCGTATTCTGCGATTGCATTCGAATGCAATCAACATTGAATGGTGGGGATAAGGGAGAGTGTTTTCTAAATTTGCGATAATATTACGAAATTTTGTCAAATAATTGGAAGTGTCGCAGATGTTTTGTCCAGGATTGTAGGTAGGGATTGTATAGGTAGGGATCATAGGTAGGTATAGAGAAGTGAGCATGCATGCAGCCAGTTGGATATGTACAGCAGGTACTGTACTGAGGTGTAGGTAGGTAGGAAAGTAGGTAGGCAGGTAGGTAGGTAGGTAGGTAGGTAGATAGACAGGTAGGTAGGTAGTATAGGTAGGTAGCATGTAGACAGGTAGGGAGATAGGTACAGGTAGGTAGGTAGGTATATAGGAGGTACGGTAGGTAGTATAGGTAGGTAGATAGACAGGTAGGTAGGTAGTATAGGTAGGTAGCATCTAGACAGGTAGGTAGGTAGGTACAGGTAGGTAGATATATAGGAGGTACAGTAGGTAGTATAGGTAGGTAGCAGGTAGACAGGTAGGTAGGTAGGTACAGGTAGGTAGGTAGGTATATAGGAGGTACAGTAGGTAGTATAGGTAGGTAGCAAGTAGACAGGTAGGTAGGTAGTATAGGTACAATAGGTAGCAGGTAGACAGAAAGGTATGTAGGTAGGTAGGTAAGCATATAGGTACAGTACAGGTAGTAGGTAGACAGATAGGTAGGTAAAAGGTAAGGTAGGAAGGTAGGTACAGTAGATAGGAGGGTAGGTAGGTACAATTGTACAAATTAAATTACTAATCATGGAATTGTTCGTAATTTCAAAATTTGTTCTGTGTAAATATTTAGATCAATTATTTTACATTTCAGATGGTGGTAATGTATGGATGTGGGGAACAAACGAATTTGGCCAACTCGGTACAGAAGATAATTTTACGATGATCAGCAAACCTTGTAAACTTCAAATTTCAGAAGATGACAGGTGATTTAGACATTTAGTGTTGCTTCATATGTTTAAAATAATATAGAACTGCATCAAGTACTGGTATCTATTAACCTCAAGCGCTCTATACCGTGTCCTGTATTGAAACCATTGGCATCTGTATAATGGCACCTGATCGAGTATATCACTATAAAGATTTGTGCAGAAGTATAGTTTTGTAATTATCCCAGTTTAGCGTGGTAGGTTGTTGCAAGTGCATGTTTAAAAATATATTGTCAATAAAGTTTTGTGAATGTTAGGTTACCTAATATTATATGTTTATCGGAACTTATTATTAGCATGACAAAATTACTGGATGCTGATTGGTTGAGAGGAGTACAATTATTTCATTAATTGTACTGCAGTACAATTAATGATTTTTCCAAAACAAACAAAATGGCGGAAAGGTATTTTAAACACAAATGTGAAATGAAATTGCCCTAGAGGAACTAGATGAAAATACGAACAAAAGCACCAAATTTTGCTTGAACAAAAGAACTAAATGAAAATACAAACAAAAGCACCCAAGTTTTGGTTGAAAGTCTGGCAGGACTCGGCTTTGGCGAGAGAATATGATGTTGACATTGAGAAGTACGTATCCAATTTTGTCATGCTAATAATAAACAAGTAATCATGCGATGTTGCTCGTACAATTATGGTTAATAGTACTCGTGATGTTTGGAAATTTGCCAAATTGGATTCGCCCCGGCGGCTCGTCCAATTTTGGCAAAATTTCCAAACATCACTCGTACTATTAATCCCTAATTGTACTCGCCATCGCATGATTACCTGTACTTATTGATGAAACTTATTTATGGGAAATATAAATTACAAGATATTACAAATTATAGCTCAATAATTTAATAGAGTCACTTCACACAGTGTATCAGTGTTACACGGCGCATATGGCTCTAATGAATGGCAGAGTGAGTCAGAGGCCGCGGAAGCATTTCAAAAGTGGAGGGGCATTGACCAAAAGGGGCATTTTTGTATATGACCAAAATCAAACGATTTTATGACGTTCACGAGCCGAACGAAAATTTTTGAAAATATAGAGTCTCTTTAACGTTGGAAATGACCTTTACAGAGTCTTTACTACAGCGAAAAGGGCATTTTCTTTCCAGAAAAAGAGGGCGTTTATTCAAGAAATACTTTTTTCGTTCTTTAAATGGGGCATTTAAGCCCAGAAAAAAGGGCACTTTTTTCACTTTTAAAAAAGTGGTAGGGTACATGCCCCCATTGCCCCTCCCCCCCGGTTCCGCGGCCCCTGGAGTGGGTGTAACTAGACGTTTTGTAAAAGCTTGTGAAATCCATTATTTTTTAGTTCGACTGCTCTGATAACAAATGTTAATTGTGGTAGTCGACATACAGCTCTTGTCACTTGTAAGTTTTCCATCTTTGTTTTTTTTCTTCTTATAATGTACCAAAGTTTAATCACAATCACATTGAAATTCGAACTGACTATCGTTTCCTTACTTTTCAATAAACTTTAGTCAATGGTTCTGTGTACTGTTTTGGAGACAACACATATAACCAGCTGGGAAAGAAAAACACAGTAGATGGTCCAGCAAAATGTAATAGACCTGAAAGGATAAAGTTTCCATCTGGTGTAAAAATCAAGACAGTATCTTGTGGGGCTTATCACACTGCTGCTGTGTCAGGTATATGTTAATGTAACTTTTATTGGCAGTATTTTATAAATTTCAAGCCTGTTCTCCAGTCCTGGCCGAACAAAGCTTCTTGTAGAGACTGGAATACGTCGAGTGTTTACATTTGCATGATTTACAGTATAAAGTACTGTATTTCCATGAAAACGTACGTACAAGATTAAGAAAAAATATATAATTTTGTAGTTTTATACCAGTTTTTCGCTATTTTCCATAGATCGACCTAATTTTAGTGGTTGATTTCAGAACCACGCAATAGAATTTCTGAATGTGTATTTTTTCTCGACAGAAAAGGGTGAGATATTTACCTGGGGTAATGGTTCTGATGGTAAGCTTGGACACGGTGATGATTCCTCAAGGTAAAAAAAATGTTCACCTGTGGGATTACAGGATGAAAAATATGGAAAATATTGATCGTGTAATCCCACTACATTGAAACGCAACTTTCAAGATTATATGAAAGAAAATGTTCAGAGGTAGAGAAGTTCAGGTAGCGCGATCCAGACCGGGAAACGTGCCAATAATCTGTTCCTGGGTTCCTGAAGTTGCTTTTTTAAAATGTTCCACAACAGTGCGTGAATAATAGAGACTTTAAGATTGACGTTAAACGGCAAACTTCAAATCGTATTTTCAGAACAACTGTTAGCTGTTCGAAGTTAGGACAATTTGTGCATTAAAATTGAAGCATGAAATACTGCATGTAGCTACTTAGCTGTCCAAAACGTGTAGAACTTATCTTCAAATTTGGTGCATAGATGCTACAATCCTACAAGAGTATATTTAGTCTTTACACAAAACATTTACAATTTTGCATATATGGCAGCCATGGAACGAATAAAAACAAAGAAGGCATTGAACCTTCTGCCATTCCAATGCAGGTTATTTCATGACATGTCTACTTCTTTAAATAACCTAGGTTCCAACCAACGCAGATATCAGAATGCTTTGATGGAAAACGGGTGATGTCAGTGTCGTGTGGTTCTGCTCATACTGCATGTACAGCGGCAATTCGTCCAAGAGGAAGTTTGGTTAGGAAATGTATGGGTTGTCAGAAGAAATTCTCAATAATACAGGTACACATTATATAGTGAAAGGCTTGAGTGATTTTTCGCATGAAATAACTTGCGAGTATTTGTGGTTTGCAATCAGTCCCTTGAGATTTATAAGACAAAGACATGTCGGCCATGTTGGAGGAAAGCACACTCCAAATACAAGAGCTGCTAATGATATTCTTTGGTTAGCGTTCCTCCATGACGCTAGTAGTATACAGAAGAGAGGTTCTGGACCCAGTAGAGCTCCACCGCTGACGTCAACAGTATCAGATTTCATGTTATTTTAATGGGGTTTTTTATTGTTTAGCAACTTTGATTAGGGGTGCGCGGAAAGCGTGACTCACGGTGTGACTAACGCGTGACTCACCCATTAATGAAACATGATAATATGGGCAAATTAGCTGTTGCTATATAACAAAACCGCGTCGGATGACATAAACACACAGATATCTATTATTTAGAGTATTTTATTTATTTTTAAACGTATACACAGATTCAGTAAAATTTATTTCAAGGTAATATCGTAAAAATAATTTTAATCTTTGCTTGGGCTCGTCTGCATGTGGGATTTCTCTCTCCCCTAGATCGCCTTCTTCATGACTATACATGTAACTATGAATATGACTATATGCGTAACTATAACTACATATTGTTATGGCTATGACTACATGACTATACGACTACATATGACTATGACTATATGACTGTATGAATATTATTGCCATGATTATATGACTATACGACTATATGATTATATGATTATTATGGCTATGACTATATACCCCAATGGGGTTTTAGGGTACACCAATGGGGGGCGGGTAGACGATGACTATAATCTATATGACTACAGGAATATGACTACATGACTATGACTACGACTATTTGACTACGACTATATGACTACATGACTATGATAAAACGACTATATGACTATATGATTATGACTGTATGATTATGATTGTATGATTATGCCTATAGTCATAGACACCTCCTCTCCTCCTCCCCATTTTCTTCTCCGTCTCGTCTTCTCCTCCTTTTCTCCTCCTTCTCTCCTCCTCCTTTTCTCCTCCTCCTTCTCTCTTCCTTCTCTCCTCCTCCTCCTTCTCTCCTCCTTCTCTCTTCCTTCTCTCCTCCTCCTTCTCTCCTTTTCTCCTCCTCCTTCTCTCCTCCTCCTTCTCTCCTCCTCCTTCTCTCTTCCTTCTCTCCTCCTCCTTCTCTCCTCCTCCTTCTCTCCTCCTTCTCTCCTCCTTTTCTCCTCCTCCTCCTTCTCTGCTCCTCCTTCTCTCCTCCTCCTTCTCTCCTCCTCCCCCCTCTCCTCCTCCTATTCTCCTCCTCTTCTCATCCACTTCCTCTTCACCCCCGTAACACTCTATTGGACGTTCTCCGAGCACCCCCAATGGGGCGCTTGGGTGTATTGGTATGTTTGGGGATACCCAATGGGGTGGTGAGGATGAGAAGGGGGAGAAGAGGAGAAAAAGACGAGGAAAGAGGGAGGCGGAGAAGAGGAGGTGTAGAAGAGGAGGAGAAAAAGGGGAGAGAATAAGGAGAAAAGGGGGAGGAGAAGAGGAAGAGGTGACTATGACTATAGTCATAATCATGCACTTATAATTATACAGTCATAATCGTATAGTCAGTCATATAATCACAGTCATGTAGTTATATAGTCATAGTCACGTAGTCATATTCATATAGTCATATAGTCATAGTCTTATATTGACCCAGATACCTCCTTGGGGTACCCCCAAACACCCCATTGGTGTACCCTCAAATGCCCCATTGGGGTGGCCGCAAACACCCCCAATTGATCAGGTACCCCCATTATTTTCACGATATTACCTTGAAACAAATCCTACTAAATTTGTGTAACGAAATAAAATGCTCGAAATAACAGATGTCTGTGTGTTTATGTCATCCGACGAGGTTTCGCTATATAGCAACAGCTAATTTGCCCATATTGTCATATTTCATTCCGTTTGTAATGGGTGAGTCACACCGTGAGTCACGCTGGTTAGGGTTGGCCAATCAGCGCGCGGCCTCCATAAGCAAAGCGCAAGTCACGCGTTAGTCATACCGTGATCAAAGTTGCTTTACAATAAAAAAACCCCCATAAAAATGCCTAGAGAAGGGATGCGTTCAGGTCATAGAGTATAAACTACAAAACACATGAATGAAAGACGTGTATCATGCAGTCTGCCACTTTCAGGATTAGCCTTTCTTAAGCCATGTGACCAGACCTTGTCCGCCATGATTGGTTGGCAAACTGGGTGAAGTAAATAATAAGTACGTAATAATAATAATAATAATAATAAGTAATAATAATAATAATAAGTAAGTAATAATAGTAAGTAATAGTGTTTAGTACACGATAGTGCTGTGTTTTCACTTCACTAAATTCACTCCATTGCTTGTTATACCAATCGACCGCCAATGGTTACCGTCCACTGTCCCGTGCGGTTTGCCACCCAGAAATGGCGGGCAAGGCGTGGTCGCAAGGGTTAGAAGGCCCTATACAAAGTTTGACAATTTTATAAAATATTTATGTTATTGTTTCATGTGGTGCGCGACAGCATATGCAACATCAATGACCTTCATTGCCTTCACGTTCACGTAAATGATTAGGAGACTGGACATGTTTGCGCAAGTGTTCCGTTGAATATTCCAGACTTTTATATTTTTTGTATTTATTCAATTTAGGCTCGATGTCATTGTCATCGTTGTAATGGGACATTTTGTTCATCATGTGCACCCAAACGACCACGTCGTCTTTGTGACAAGTGTTTTAAAATTGTGCAGGAAGAAGAATCTTAGAAATTACGAAGAATATATCTTTAAGTCTTCCTCAATCTGTACATGGTGAAAACCAAGACACCAGTACCGTATTTACTCGTTTGAGCGCCGCGGCGTTTGAGCGCCGGAGCTTCAGATGCGGCACTCATTCGGTGGGGGGGGGGGGGGCGCTCTTTAAAAAAATTTTATTTGTGAATTATAACAAGAACTTTTAACAATAAAATAAACAAGTTTTAAATGTTTTTGTCGCTAAATGTCCCCATTTTGACGGCGGAAAGTTTTTACACTGTTTAGTGCGGCGCTCTTTAAAAAAATTGGTCTCAAATGCGGCACTCATTTCATTCGGGGGCGGCGCTCAATCGAGTAAATACGGCATACCAATTTCATAATATAATACCACAGTGATAATACAGATGGGTTAAATATTTTTATAACCTTGAAGGTTATGAGGCCAAGAAGGCTTATATTAAGATGACCAAATTATATAGCAACCAGTATTTAAAGCAAACAATAAAATCAAATGTTCACTTGGATCTCAGGTATTTTTTCGAAAAGTTTTGCTGTCCTATATAAATTGACAATTATCGTTAACGTTTTCAGCAGATCGGCAAGTTCGTGCCGGAGTTTAGGGAGTTTTAACGGCTGCATGAAAAAAGAATATTTAAACTCATCTGTTATGAAAGTGGTCCCTAAGTGCCCTGGAGCCAGTTGTTCAAAGCTGGATTAGCGCTAACTCTGGGTTAAAATTTAACCCGCTGTTTTCGTTTGGGTACATCTGCAAATCCGTTTATTTCAAAACTTTAGAAAATATTACTCATATTGATCCAGATTTCTGGAAAATTCTCCATGACCATGTTTATAAGCAAGCTGTTGGGAAGATTCTCTAAAGATTTTCGTTACCCCAGAATCAACCCAACTGACCAGCTTTTGAACAACTGACCGCTGGTGAAAATAGAGCATTTAAGGGAATTCACCCTTCTGGAAAGTACATCGTCTTGACTGCCTCCTGTCCTACAAACATTTATTATTAGCTTTAGAGCCCTTTATCTATCTCGTGATACGGTAATAATTGATCAAATAAAAACATTAACATATTACCAGGGACCCGCGGAGCGATTTTATGATTGGGGCCGATGCCATGCCCCCCCCCCCCCAAATGTTGTGAATTATATGCCCGGAAGGAAAGTGCATTTTCAGGCTTTCGGCTATTGCACACAATAATTCTGATAGATTTCTGAAAACACATGTTTACTGTAAATGATCGAGAAAAATTAGTAGAGAATTATAATATAACGTAATGCACGCATCACTTTTTCATTAATACTTCGACAATTAATAGTGCTATTTCTTTTCAGTTCTAATATTATTTCAGTACTAATAAAGTTTTTATAATTATGCAATAAGTTTTAAGTTTATTAATTAAAGTGTTAATATAAATATTAAATAAATTAAATGATTGATGACAGTTTTATTATAACACTGTATACATGTATTAGAAGTGTATGACCACAAAGTTTGCACACATTAAAGGGTAATCTGCATAGAAACAAATAATTATCAAGGGTGGGTTGACTACAAAATATTTGTAGTTCGCTATAACTACAGCTACTTCAAAAATATGTAGTCAGCTACAACTACTGCTACTTTTGAACAAAGGTAGTTCGCTACTGACTACAGCTACTGCTTAAAAAATGTACGAACTATTTCGCTATTTCGCTACGCTATATTTTTTAGTTTTATTGTATTTGGAGCAGATACTAACTCAGGCTAAAATGTAACCTATAACAAATCGACTTACGAGTAGCAACAGTAAACACAAAGTGTGCAAATTGACTATTGATTTTAAGCAAACCCTGTCTCAATATCGTGCTATTCTATCAAGTTGCTAACAATTTCAAAAAGTAGCGAATAGCGATTCGCTGTTTGAAAAGTAGTCAACTACTTGGCTACTTTTAGGCAAAATGTAGTTCGCTATAACTACAGCTACTGTTTTAAAAAAGTAGTCAAAAACTACTGGCTACTTGAAAATTGTAGTTCGCTACAGTAGCGAACTACAACTACTTCGCTACTACCCACCCCTGATAATTATCCCATTTTTTTCGGAATTGTATTATGTACATTTGCAACACATAAATTAAGTAACACATAAATTTAATAAAGCTGCCAAATTTGAGTCAAATTTTGACTTTCATCCATCAAGGAGAGGTGCATAAACTTGTCACTGGAGGACTGCAACAATTCTCAGGAGGTGCAAAACAATCTCTGGGGACGGTCTGGTTGGAGGTGCACACCTCCCTGTGGACACTTCTCAAAATATGGGTATGCAAATATCTGGTATGAATAACAAATGCATGTAAGGTTGGAGGTGCATGTCCCCCAATCTCATAGTAATTCACATAATTTTTGAAACCTTGCTATTCATGCCATATTTGTTTAATTATGGTCAAAATTTGTACAATTTGAGGTGCTCTTTCAAGTAATTGAGTTCATTTTTTAACTTCAACTTTAAATGTTACTTTTTAACACTTTGTCCGAGTATTTTCATCAACTTGAGAATGGAGAATAACATAATGCAAGGTGAGCTGCTTGCCAATTGTGGAGACAAAAATTACACATTCACAGAACAGACAAGCATTGCATGTCTGATTAGGTCAGTAGCGTGAGGCGGTTTCTATAGAAAACCGAAAACTGACCAAAAAAACTGAGTAACTGGGTTTTTTTTTTAAATATGTTCGAAAATCGAAACTACAGTAAACAAAGACACAACACGCTACTCAGTACTCACGCAAGATATTAAACGTAAAATATTTTGAAGACGTTATATCAAATTTCAAACAAAATCTCTATAGTTTTTCGTGTGTAAATGCCAAAACTTGATTCATTTGCAACAAACTCTTATAAGACTAGTATGGTTCAATTTTAGTAAAATACCGATTTTCGTTTTTCCTGGTTTTTCTCCAAAAGTAACATCGAGTATTTTTTTTCGGTTTACCGAAAAACTGCCTCAACCTAAAGGCCAGTTCTCTAAATTAATCAGGAAGAGGCTAATGAGTGGGCAGCCACTGGTCATGGTGTGTGACCATCATGGGATGCAACTACCACGGCTTGGGGGGGGGAGACTGAGCCACTGAGCTAGGGTGGAGTATTGCGGAGGGAGCTACGGCATTGTTGTGGTAAAACAGTCTTGTGGCAGCAACAGGGATGCAAACAACATCAGTAAATTAAAATTAGTCATGTCAACAAATACATTTACAGGTTATCTCCTTTCAAAACACTGTCACTGCACAAGTTAATACCCTTTCCCAAAGCTCCAAATATTCTTCTAAATACTGTACAGGCTTTCTGCGAAGACAGCGACCATGCAAAATCATCCCTGTACTTTCTTGCTCCTTGTTTAAAATCTTTATAAAAACTTCTTTTCTTTGCCAGATTGTTTCTGTTTATGTCTAGGATTTTCCTTGCAAAGCACACGCAGAACACCTCTCCTCTTAACAAAACGACAATTACTGCATCGCAATCTCAACGAAGTTCTCACTTTATAAGTTCTTAAAGTCATCAACGATAAAGCAAAACCTTTCTCGTACACTTGTTTCAGCAAACGTCGACCATACATTAAATTAAACATGATTTATTTCAGTGAACTTTCAGTATAAAACAGTGGTATAAAATCATCAAAAAGGCTTCGGAAAATGCAATATAATGTTTCGGAAATGATCGGAGAACGTCGTAAAACAACAGTTCTTAAATACTTTCCTTAAACTACTTCCTTAAATACAGGAATTTTACACACTGTTTAATTAATTTTGTCGGATTTGTAAATTTGTTGTTGCAGCCGTTATAAGTTGCAGTAGTTTTGGTATTTCCTGGTACCTGTTTTTCATTCCCCCCCCCTATAAATGCACTGGGTTTATGCGACCTATTTAATAGGCTAACATTTTGAAAACATTTTCCTGTTGGACACTTTATGGTGGACACCCAAATTAGAATATTAAATCTCATAGCGTCTCCTCTGCACGCATCTCAAAATGGCTCAAACCGACCTACATTTATAGGATTAGAATAAGAATTTTTCTGGTAAATTTCACAAACTTTGAGTTGTTAAATAATATTATAAAATAGGTAAGGAATTTTGGAGTTCGTATCAAGGAATTTTATTGGTTGTCCCATTAAAAAGAGAAAAGATCAATTATTCACATTCCATTGAGTATTCACTTTTACAATAAAAAGTTGCGTTCATGGTAACCGTAGATTACTAAGCGTAAACAAATGCTGTTCGGTTAAGAAATAAAATTGACCAAAGAACACCTCGCTATGCCGCTTTCTACGCCAAAGTACCAGCTAGCACGATGTGTAAAATACGGACCGCCGGAACGATCTGAAGCAGAACTGAGAAAGTTGGAAAAATCTTTCGTTTTAGATTGCGTTTTTGTGGGCACGCTTTCTGATGATTCTGGCCGTGCTAATCCTAAAATGGCGACCGCAATCCCACCATATAATGGGCAGAGAGACAAGTTTGCTAGAGGTTACTTTGAGTGTCCTACCATACAAAAAGTGCTGAAAAAAACTGGGCAGGTAAATAATTAAATTATCAATAAATAATAGTGTTATGTTTTTTCATAGATTTTTTCGTATTTATAAATACTCACTGACCTGATATTTAATATTAACGTTTTTACTGTGGTAACTATGGTGATGAATGATGATCATTGATCAAGGTGTTTTTTATATAGAGTTAGGACTTTAAATGGGCTATTCCAATTATTACTGCACCCCCCCCCCCCCCTGGTGAGGAACCCCTTTCTCATGTCGGTACTCCCCTGGAATTTCCGCAAATTTTCATGCATAATTTACCCCTTCCCATGGAATTTCCTTGTAAAAATTACCCTTCCCCATTCAATTTTAAATTAGGCCTTCCCCATGGAATTTCCATTTAACTCCCGGAATTTTACTCCCGGAAATTTCCCTCTAACATATGTCCTCCCATGGAATTTCCATCCCATCAAATTTACCCCTCCCTTTGGAAATTCCATGTGAGAATTACTCCTCCCCTTGGAAATCCAGAGCCTGAATGCCCCCTTCCCTGGAAATTCCAGGGTTAATGTATTCCCTCCCCTGGAAATTTAAAGTTAATTAATGCACCTCTCCCCTGGAAATTCCAAGGTTAATACACCCCCTCCCCTGGAAATTCCAAGGTTAATACACCCCCTCCCCTGGAAATTCCAAGGTTCCTCAACATGGGGGTGCAGATAATAATTGGAATAGCCCAATAGGATGATGGGTGAGGTTTGAGATGTGTGATATGGTCATTTGGCATTAGAGATAGGGTTGCAATATTTTGGGTTAGGGATGGATTTCACTCCAGTTCTCAACTTGCGACTAAAGACAGGAATCCAGTCCGACCCTGACTCGTCCCCAGTCAACTCTGTGAGCACGTGCGGGCGATGTGTTTTCCAATTCACCACGCGTTGCCTGTGCATGCTCACAGAGATGACGAGTCAGAGTCCGACCTGCATATCATGCAGGCGTTTTTGGGAACCCCTCAGTGGAGGCCCTACTCTAAACCTAAACATAACCTCATCCCTATAACCCTACCCTAACCCTGTCCCTAACCAGTGATATTTTCCAGGGGGAATATCCTCCCACTATTATCACTGGGGGAATGGCATTCTCCCTAACAAAACTCAAACATGAGGGAACAGTGTTCCTCCCGACAGGAGTGAACAATGCCGGACAGGCAGATGAAGCTAAATATATATATGTATATATCTGCAGACATGCATGTTTTGGCATTCTACGAGTCATCAGTGCAGCTTGGTACACGTCTAGATATGTGATGACCACCATATTTATACTCACGAGCTTGCTCTCACCAAACGCATGTGGTACAACACAGTGACATCAACTCACCAGACATGCACAGAGTATCATGGGGCCAAAGTGCTTAATTAAAAGTGCTTTGAATTAAGTGACCATACCCAATTAAGTAACCATGCCCATTACCCATTAAATTTTTACAAGCATTCCCCCACTTCTAAAATTTGGAAAATGTAGTGTGTCTTTAACCCTTTCCCTTACCCTTTTCCTACGGAATACAATACTCTAGTGGCAAATTTTTAAGTTACATATTTCCACCCTGTATGTATTTCCCATAAAAATGGAAACCCATTGTATATGTTTTCATACATGTACACATTAGTATGCAAGTGGTGGCTGTTTTGTTGCCAATTTCTGGTACCGGTATTGCGATGATGTCTTGCATCTCCAGAGCGTTTTGCATTGTTTCTTTAACAGGGGCAGTATGATCAAAATTTTTATTTTCTTAAACGAAAGTGCTCGTAAAACTGTATAATAACTTGTTTTGAAGATTTTTGTTCCCATGCTTAGTTCTTGAGATATTTCATTTTGTTTGTAACCATGTGACATCATTTACTCATGCAATTACATATATAATGAGATATCAGTAATTGTTGTGTATCTGCTATTTTTATCAAAATATTTCGAAAGATGCGGCGCGTTTGTTAATTTAACCTGCATCATTAAGCATACTGTGTTTTTTAACAAATCGATCAAAAATAGCAAAGATACACAACAATTACTGATATCTCATTATATATGTAATTGAGTAGATGACGTCACATGGTTACAAACAAAAGAAATATCTCAAGAACTAAGCATGAGAACAAAAATCTTCAAAACAAGTTACGATACAGTTTTACGAGCATTTTCGTTTAAGCTTTGGTTTAAGAGAATAAAAATTTTGATCATACTGCCCCTTTAAAACTAACAAATGGTTTCCTTATGCCTGCTTATCAACCTTGTTCCCAGGCTCTTATCTCTTGGGGAGGATCTGCTAGTAAGGGGAGGATCACATGATCTGCTAAAATCTACAGATTTTCAATCTGCAGATTTCTAAGTTATAAATTAAAGTATAAATATAAATCATCAATTAAAAATCTGCTAGATTTTAGCAGATCATGTGACCAGCTCCTACCAGGGTCTTTCCTCCCAGACTAGTCCCAAGTCCTCTGTGCACGCTTTTGATTTCCGTGACGTCACCGAGCGAAACGCGCGCAAACCTCATTAATATGCAGAAACGCGCAATAGGCGTACTACAAGAGGTAAGAGCCTGGGAACGAGGTCGCCTGCTTATCAGTGGCCTGGAGTGGGCATAAAGTTTGAGTTTAGGGTTAAGGTTAGATCTTGTATTGATCATCTTATGATATCCTAACTTAACAATCCTGACCTGAACAATGTGAGCTCATCAACACCAGCTGGTTAGCTAAACCCCACATACTATGAGGAAAACTCCCAAAGAACATTTCACTGTCATTATTTGGTTGCTGCATAGTAGCTAGTGTTTTTCATTTGCCTTCCATTGACCAATGACCAGTACATTATCTCATGACATCAGTGGCAAAGCTAGAGGTAGGGGGCAGGCATAGTCACACTCACCCATACACACCCTCTTAACAACTCCCTCTTAACATTTGGAAATGTTCAGTCTTCACTCCGTATCAAAATTCCTAGTCAGTTAACTACTGCTTGCTATCAAAACCACTTTGTGATGATGTAGGATGTGAATCAAGGAGACTCTCTGTGTGGAAAACAAATGGATCGATTTTACATAACTGGTAGCATGGGAACAAACATCCATTTAAGAAATCAGAATGGAGCAGGTAACTTCAATACTGCTCGTACCTAGGCCTCTTATTGTTTAGTGTCGTTTTAATCTTTTTTAACATTTTTAATTAAAATTATATGAATATACAGTATAACATTGATTTTGACATCTATAGTCCTAATAGTTTTTGCAATTATAGTCTGCCTCGTACCCACGTGTGTGTCTCTTGCGTGAGCGCGAAAATGGACCGCGTGGATGAATTTGATTTTCAATTTTTCTTCCTCGTGTGTCGTCCCGCGTGCGCTTGATGCAGTGAAATGCCTGGGCTGGCTGGGCAGAAGGCACTTTTTTATTAGAAAATCTATGTCTGCATAATTATGTAATAACTCTTAAAAGCCTTTGAAATTTGGGGAGAGTTCATTAGTGTATTATGTATCGGATTCGTAATTGGCCTCGTAATGAAGTTGACAAAGAGTAAATTGGATATGCCCTTTAGAAACTTGTCTCTTTTACACTTTTTATTAGGAAATTCCCAGGAAGTTATAAGAGGACACAGTATGTTCATGGAAAGTCCAAAACCAATAATTGGATACCATGGTTTGTATGGGTTTAGACGAAATACTCCCTGGCTTCGCCAAAAACCTTCGGTATTCCTAGGTAAGTGTCCTGAATCATAAGGTGGCTGCCATGGACGCCCTTGAAAGCCTTCGACTCGATCAGGTTGAGCTGTGTCCTTCGTCAGTTCAGCTTAGCTCTCAGCTGCAAGTAAGGATGGTTAAGACATCTTTCTCTTCCTAATTTCAAAAAGAAATTGAAACTTCAAATAATTAATGGCTACTAAAATTGTTTGATTAAAAGTTTGATATTTATTTCTTTTGGTATTTCTTTTGTTGTTTCTTTTCGTTTTTTTGCATGAGCCTTTATTCATTCATATTCATTTACATTGGTTTAGAAAAATCGTGTGTATGTGTGTTCTGTGTTTGTTTATATTTATATTTATTGATAATTTATGTCCGTATCTAACTTCTCCAACTCTATAAAATTATTACTTTTCATTATAGAGGTCACCTGTCTCGATTAGCCCACATGGTTATTACAGGTGGCCTTCACTCTCAGCTGATCATAATAAGAATAACTTTCTGTATATTTTTTATGAGTGAAAAATAAATTGTTTGTTGTTTGTTGTTTGTTGTTTGTTGTTTGTTGTTGTTGTTGTTGTTGTTGCTGTTGTTGTTGTTGTTGTTGTTGTTGTTGTTGTTGTTGTTGTTGTTGTTGTTGTTGTTGTTGTTGTTGTTGTTGTTGTTGTTGTTGTTGTTGTTGTTGTTGTTGTTGTTGTTGTTGTTGTTGTTGTTGTTGTTGTTGTTGTTGTTGTTGTTGTTGTTGTTGTTGTTGTTGTTGTTGTTGTTGTTGTTGTTGTGTTTTAGCACACCCCACTTACTTACTTACTTAAACCTTCCATTTTTGTGCGCAAGCCATTTCTAAGCTGATTGAGCGGCCATTTTGCCTTCGGAAATTTAACTAGATATTCTCTGCAGTAATTCTGGCGTTGATCAAATCAGGAGACCCATAACTATTGATATCCGTTAAAGTTTTTCCAGCAGTTGCTATATAATCTTCAGTTTAGAGGCAATTTGAAAATGGTCTACTTTTTGATACACCCTGTATATCTTTATTCAGCTTATCAGCATTATCGCTTCACTGGTTGAGCTAAGTAGAGGAGAGGGTAGACAGAGGGTAGACCTATAACCAGGAGCAGTTGCGGAAATGCAACTATAGCCCCTCTTGCAGGAATCGAACCTGCGGCCCTGCGATTTTGAAATTTCCATTCACAAAATCCTTCAACAAAACTGTAGTTCAATCGAATGAGATGATCAAAAATCCCATATATACCTTACCAGTAACCATGCAGGTACAGTATATGAACTTGTGGTTAGAGCTTGACAACTCTGTAGCTCAGTTGGTTAGAGCGCTGCACCGGAATCGCAGGGTCGCAGGTTGGATTCCTGCCAGAGGGCCTATAGTTGCATTTTTCGCAACTGCTCCTGGTTAGATCTAATAAAATTTATAAATTGCAAATGGTAAATTTATAAATTTACACTCCATCTTCAAAATCCTTCAACATTAAATGTCCAATCAAGTGAGATGCCCAAACATCCTGGTGATATTTACTCATAGACAGAGGCTATTAAATATTTTTCTTCTGGATTGTAGGAATGCATGAGTTGAGGTTGGGTTATCAGTAGTCCACTTATTCTTAAATCCTTATCTTGCTTGGCGGGCCTGCATGATTTATCCACATACTACTATAAAGGCTCTTTTCCATTCATCGCAAGAGTCAACTCGCAAGCTTGCTGCGAACTATTTTAACCAGTCGCAGTGCTCGCAGTGTGTAATGAAACACTCGCAGCAAGCTTGCGAGCTGGTTTTTGCCATGAGTGCAATCTCTTGTCTCAAGACCAAAAGTGAAAGATTTTTACTTTTTAAGGTAAAGTTGACAATCGTTCTTTGGTTCCTTGAAGAGAAATGCCTCCCAGTAGCAGATAGATGAATCTTACTCAAACTTTTCTTATAATAATGATTGCTTTTAGAAGTATTCTTGCAATTGCAAGTCATAAGCAATAATGTACAGTAAATCTCAGTTCTATAAACTTTGAGTAAATATAGTAAGGAATAGAAAGAGTGAGGGAAGATATTCGATGAAACATGAAAAGTTAGTTTAATTAAGTTAAACCTCGTTCACAGGTGTGCCAAAGCATAAAGACATCTGAAGCTTCGACATAAGCACAACCATAAGCGCAGACATCTAAGCGAAAGACATTTCAAAGAGACTATTTTATTTGCTTTGTCTTTGAACGCCCTGGAAGTAAAATTTACTTTTGTGTTTATGCTTAGGGGCCATTCACAAAGGATGTCCGGCCAAATGATGGATTTTCAGACCCCCCCCTCCCCCCCTTGTCCGGCATTGTCCGAATTAGTGACCCCCCCTCCCCCGGACATCCGCCATGCCTCGCAAAAACTCACGCAATCTTGTATATATCAAGAGTAAAAAACTTTTACTTTTAGAACTTTTTTATAACTGTAAATGTGAACACAAAAACATATAAATTACTAATTAAAACAAAATCTAGTGTTAACCGCATAGTCAAAATGCCAATTTCACAATGGGAAAGACTGCTCAAAATAGAGGGAAAAAAGAAATTTGTTTTTGAATTTTTTTAAATTTCGGATATCCGGATTGCTAAAACCCCCCCTCCCCCCTATGTCCGAGTTTGTCCTGATTTTCCAAACCCCCCCCCCCCCCTCGGCTCGGACATCTTTTGTGAATGGCCCCTTATCTACTCCTACGAACGAGCGTTAAGAACCTCAGCCGACCAACTATTCAATGGCAACGTATGGGCATTAATTTCGTTTTTGATTTACCATTACTTACGTGGCAACAAGTTTGTGATAATGATCACTTTACCTGCGCGAGACGAGCAACATCAAAGAACATATTATACGGAACAAATGCACCCGCGTGACTCGATCGCGAGGTCCCTCGTTCAGCGGGCGAAGCGATGATTACGGAATCACAAGAACCTCAGTTTCAAATGTGTTATAGCCAAGTTTTCTTTTATTATAATACGAAATTTGGTTATTAAAAACATTTATAATAACTATTTACATGTGTGACAAAAATATTAAATATAATTAATGTTCATCTTTCTTTGTGAGATAATAGTCTATTTTATATACATATTTTAATGTTCAAAAATACTAGTACCAGTATGGTTAATAAAATGCTGCTAAATAACACTCGAGCGTATTCTTATTTTAATTGTATGTAAAAGTAACATTAACTACAACATTGATGAGGCAGTAAGTCATCTCTGCTAATTCTCTTTTACGTGTCTGTTTACTCTGCATATAAAGCTAAAACTGACAAATTGTTTTTATGGGAAATCGTGCTATGTGACAATTACAATATATGAAAAGATTTCTCCATTCTGACTGGCTGAGCGCAGTGCAATTTCATTGTAATACAGTGCAAATAAATATTCTTTCAGTGCCAAAAAAGTAATTCGCTGCATTTTTTTAAATGTATACGAACTAATGTTTGGATGGGAGAAAACATTTTCTTGTTTATTTTTTCCAGGCATGGTATTTACAAGAAAAATATTCATATATTGTCTTCATTTTAATATTTTTCTACACATATTATTAATCAAGTAATACCATTTAAAATTAAATAGCCCTAACCCTTTCCCCCCCCCCCCTGACCGCTTGAGGCATGAGGTAGTATATTACTTGGATCAAATTCCTCATGGGATGACTAAAGCCCCGTTCAAACAAGTACAAATTTAAAACAAAGTCGTATCCAATCCATGAACATCAGCTCACATTCCCCCCAACATAGCGTTCACACGAGGCCCAAACATGTTGCATTCAACAATGTTGCATTTAATGTTGGACCAACATGTTGGCATTGTTTGAACGGGCATTAAGTGGTCAACCATTTGACTTCTGAGGGGGTGGATAATGGGTTGAGTGAATGGGTGTGTGATTTCGAGGATGATTTTAGAAAAAAAGTTGCAACCAGAATTTTAATGTGAACACATGCCCTCAGTACAATCGTTAGTCGTCACATCAATTTGAAAAAAACATTCCTATGCCAAAAAACGCCTACCTCTTCAAATATCAAATGGTTGTTCCCTTTAAATATTGACAGTTTTAGCCGAAATGAATGAGCGAGCATGTAAGACATGCTAATTTCGAACATTTTGAACACACTAAAGTTTTTTTTACATTAAAATTTCCTAGAAATAAGTGATTACTAAAATATATGCGAAAGTGCACTTGTCATATTGCTATGTTCTTGAGTTTTCTCTAAATACCTATCTTCTTCTATCAATGAATTTAATAACGTGTTCATATCATTCACTACCATGTTGGAGGGACCATTATGTAAAACAGATTGATCTACCATTTCGTTCGTATTTAAATTACTTATTCCGTTTAACATCGACTCGTAGGAACCGACTGGTTGGACTTGTCCGTTCATATCTTGTCCATTGTTCATTGGGCCTTGACCATTCATAACTCGCATATCATTGGGATGTACTTGACCAGACATAAAGTTGTTCTGATGTTGTTGGTCTCGTGCCTGCAACAGTTGTTGGTTGATGTGCTGTTCATACTGCCATAATCCTTTGTTCTGTTGAGGAGGCTTGTTTCCTTGAGGGTGATTGGGAGGGTGGGGTGGGTAAAGGTAGTCTTGGTTTGGTGCGTCCATCGAATATGGATAATGTGAGAGTTTTTGTCCCCTTTCCAAAGGTTGGGGTCTGGGTGCTGGTCTTGGATTATTGAACATACTAGGTTGTCTCTGAGGAAAATCAGGCAGAGGTTGATTGTTTGGTCTCCTTTGCGGGTACTGTGGTTGGTAGAATTCGTTGGGTCCATTGGAATAATAGTGAGTTGCAGGTTCGCTACTTCTGCGTGGTCCTATGTTGTTATTACGTAAGGGCAGGTATCGGTTAGAGCTATCAGCTTCGCATATGATACTATCACTCATTCTTCTGTTGGGAGGTGGATCAGGAGGGTTCTGTATGGGAACTTTGTGAAATACAGGACTTCGAATGACTGCTAGATTATGATGACTACCATATCCACTACTTGACCGCCTTTGGTCAGTATGGAATGCATCAGGGACAGGTGAGGGTCTGGCCATATCATCAAAATATTCATTGCGTCTGGGATTATTGTTCCATTGATTGATTTGTGGTAGTTGTTGTTGTTGTATTTGGTGAGCATCACTTGCTTGTTTATTGGGTGGATACATGTCTTCTGGCGTTTCTTCAACTAAAGGTGGCACTGCACCGTGTGGTTGTCTTGTAAGTGTACTCATCTCACTTGAACGTCGACTGCTGATATACGAAGACACTCCACTCTCACTCGACCTACGGCTACTGTAATCAACTGGAATATTTTCCTTCAATTCGTTGGGATATCTACCAACATGGCTCATTCTCTGAGTAACATCTGCAATCCATTTACCAACCTCATTTTGTTTATTGATGGTTGGCAACGAGAGTTGGTTAGGTACAACACGATTTTCAACCAGAAGCTCACCTCCCCCTCCTTGTGCAGGGCCAGACATCTCATGTCTATCTGGGAATGAATACGGCATAGCTTCTTGAGGTGATCTTGGTGACATACTGTTCTTGTTCTGATTGGTAACTGGCTTACTCTGGGGACTCAAAGTACTCTCGTCCGGCTCATCACATACAATATTCGCTGAGTGTGGACTATCAACACAACTGGACGATGATGTTAAATCGCCATTGAAACTTTGTGGTGAGAAATCAACCTGTTGAAGATTTGATATATTCTTCCCCTGTCCACTTTCCTTCTGATCTTTAGCACTAGGACTGGATGGATCTCCATTTTGCTTGCCGTCATTCGAGCCTGGATTCTGTTTCCCTTGAGAACCATTGACAGCTGGTTTTGTAGCAACATTGTTTTTAGTGCCATCACTAGGTTTACCTTTGGCTTCATCAACTTTTGGCTGGAAATGAAAAAAGATGCAGTCAATAAACAGTTTGTTTCCAGAAAAAATGTCCGTGACACCGGGTTAAATAAATTAAAAATGAATGAACGGATGAATTCGGGTTTAAATTTTAAAACTTAATGAACTAGTTACCAATTATGTGTAAGTATATTATGTATAGGATTGTGGTAAACTATGTAAATCATTTTTTATCTCAGGTTATAGGCCAATTATAGTTTTCATTTTGAATTATTGCACTCTACTTGCCGGCTATTTTCAAAACACTTTGCACAATTTCAATTACCTTTTTCGCTCCGGCAAAATGTTCAGGATGACAAGTTTTCTTGTGTTTTCTCAGAGAGCTTGGATCTGTGTAACGTTTGGTGCAACCTGCAACTGTGCAGACGTATGGTTTCTGAAAAACAAAAATAAATGTTGAGAAAATGAGAAAACATGGTACAACCAATAATGGTCACTTTATCATGTGGACACCTCTGGTAGCGAACGTTCATTGATGATCCCAAACAACACTCAATTTTATTTCTTCGACCTCCATCCAACGAACACCTCTAATTAACAGACCCTTGTTGCTGTTCCCAAACGATACGCCTTTTTATTCCTTCGACTTCTATCCAACGGATATTTCTAATTAATAGACACTTATTGAAGTTCCCAAACGACACGCCCTTATGTAACCCCGACTTCCATCCAATGGACATCTCTAATTAACAAACCATTATTGCTGTTCCCAGACGACACGCCCTTATATTCCTTCGACCTCCATCCAACGAACACCTCTAATTAACAGACCCTTGTTGCTGTTTCCAAACGACACGCCCTTATATTTCTCCAACTTCAATCCAACGGACATCTCTAATTAACAGACACGTATTGAAGTTCCCAAACGACACGCCCTAATATGGACGGACATCTCTAATTACAGGACATTTGAAACATTCCCCAATGGTGCCCCATGACTGTATATTTTTTTTGCATACAACTCAGAGAATAAGGACAATAAATTGACTATAGATTTGCTTATTGATGAATTTGAACTAGTTGATTGTTATGGGTAGCTGTTTTCTTTTAAACGAAGTTTACATGTTTTGAAGAGGCCGTGAAACGATGTGGTCGTATTTGTAAAAAAAAATGTATCAGTTATCATCTTGATGATAGCTGATAAGGTGACAAGAATATTTGACCGCATTGGACAAATACGGTGAGAATAGCGAGCTTACAATTTGCGAAAATTACTATTGAATGTCTGGAGATTTTGGGTGACGCACGTCCATTCCAACTTACCACAGAAGAATGAGTTCTGTTTTGATGCTTAGCACGATCTGATGCATTGGTAAAAGCTTTACTGCAATTTTCAAATTCACAAACATATGGTCTTTCACCAGTATGCGATCGTTCATGTGTCTTCAAGTTTTCCAGCCTTGAGTACGCTTTGTTGCAGCCTGGAAACTAGTAATAGAAATATGTGAATATGAATACACGCGTGTTTTTGTGCGCGCTTTTCAGTTTTTTAACCCGGAGGAGTGAATTATGTTTTGTTGTAAACCTTTGTACTACAGAAATAAATGGAGACATATGTATATGAAATGCGCAGAATTGAAAGACACATGCACTCACCACTATGTCACAAACATCGCTGCAAGAAGTAGAACTGGGCCAATTAAAGTACTTATAACCTTGGGCAAACTAAGATACACAGTCGTGCAAACATTCGAAACTTCGGATGTCTTCTTGAATATATGTTTCCTTTGACCATGCACCCTTAGAAACATTGTTGCGAAATATTTTTGGTTTTTTTTGGAAGCAAAACTGAATAGTTGCCAACAAAAATATTTAAGAAAGATTTTTGACGTGCGACTTTGTTTCGCGAACCGTGTTTCCCCCCTTTCCCTACTTTAGGGTAACATGGTTAGGAAACAATGTTTCCTGATTTGTCCACCATTAGGAAACATGGTAACGAAGCAATGTCCTCTCGAGTCCTCGGAAAGGAAACATTGCTAGGAAACTGATTTGCCTACCTTCTGGAAACACGACTACGAAACAATGTTTCCTGGTTTGCCTACCATTAGGAAACACGGCTGGGAAACAATGTTTCCTGGTTTGCCTAGCTTCTGGAAACACGACTACGAAACAATGTTTTCTGATTTGCCTGCGGGAAACATGGCACAATGTTTCCACCACATTACCTAGTCTGGACTTTTTAAGAACTGGAAAAAGAAAGTAAATTAAATGTCACTTACTGTGCATTTATTCGGTTTTTCCCCAGTGTGTCGCCTCATGTGGACAACTAACATATATTGAGCTTTAAATGGTTTCTGTTCTCGCTGACAGCCAACCCAATGACACGTAAAATCTCGTCTTTCTTTTTTGATATGATCTGTATTCACATGTTTCACGAGTTCATCTTGAGTTTGGAACAGAATATTACAATCTTTCCATAAACACAAAAATTCATTATTATTTTCGTCTTTTTCCGTTGTTTCTTCATTTTCTGCTTCAGATTCTCGCTAAAAAAGTACATAAAGATTTTAAGGACTTTATTCGTGCTTATAACAGATTTCCTCACGTTTTAAGTCTTGCGCGGGGGTTTACTGTAACGATTAAGTTTTTTTAAATCTTCTTAGTCTTACGGCCTTCAATCATTCCATATTTGCTATTTATAAGTTTTCTATACGGCCCTGGCTCCACCCCAGTCGTTCATCTTGCGTTGAATGACGGGAATACGAAATCTTTAGAGCCTACTTTACAGAGGCGTAGCCAGGATTTTTGTTCAGGGGGGGGCAGCTAAAACCCAGGTGGGGCCAAGCCGCCAGTGATTCGAGACGCAAAGTTCGCGCAAGGCATTCTGTGCAGTGATGGGTAAAATTAATTGTCGACACATGAGATTTTTCACCGAGCCTGCGTTAAAAAGTCACTAGTAAAAAAACAGATTGGTTTAAACTTCATCTAACCCTCATTTAATACATATTGAAATAATTAGGGTTAGAAAAGGTATGTGTTTCAAGCTGTGTGCCGCAAATAAGCGAACAAGATTTTAGGTTTCACACTGATGCGCAGCAATTAAATCGTATATTCTACATAATTTTTGCATTATTGACAGCATGAAGCTATATAATCAAGGATTCCCTTTTTCATACAATACATTTTATCAGGGGGGGGGGGGGAATTTTGCCAGTCCTGGCTACGCCTCTGCTGTTTTTAGAGTATTCCCATGTGCCCTTAGATTCTATCATTCTATTGTTCTCTTAGGGAATTCCCATGGATCATTGCAACGATATTTTTGAAACGATTCTAAGACTCTTACGAAAATATTTTTACGCTCAAGTAAATAGAGAAAACAAAGTGTTCGTAGTGACACTAAATATACAGCATGCTGTTTAGACATACTGGTTTAATCGGATAAGCAGAATAGTCCCCTTTTTCCGCTCAGAAACGTCGGCCGGGATTGATTAATTGCAATTATAGCAATATTTGGAAAAAAATAAGATTATCAAAAAAGTCATTGTTATAGACAGTTTGATTATAAATCACCCATTGGCCATTGTCTAAATGGATCTTACAATAATGAAATTATCAACTTAGATTACTTCAGAGATAATTTGGTTTCAAGTGTTGTTAAACCTTCAACAACCTATATCTGTGCTTTTCAAATATACAATGCAATGTACAATTACAAATTCAATGCAATTGAATATAATGTTATTTATAATTATTGTTAGTACGCACCAAACCATGGCCATTGATGACTAGACAATGGTGACAAGAAAACCAGTTCCATGCATGCTTCTCACTTTATATACAAAGCACATGCAATAATGTTCAGTAGAAAGACTTGGTAGGGTTAAAAAAAACGCATGCAAGTAAAACTAAAGACTGCATTATACACATTACACACACTTAGTTGTATTATATATTACTGAAGGTATACGGTTCGAATGAAAAGGATTAACAGTAATATGTTTATCTATTTATTATTTATTGATTTATTTAGCTTCGCCATATATATAGAGAGAGAGAGAGATGATAAAAATTTCTTTTTATTATATAGTCACTTTCAAACTTGTAAACACAATGCAATTGGCGGGAAATGATCACGTGATCGATATCTTCACTGTGTATTTTTCAGTATCTAATAAAACAATTTCCAAACACACAAAAACATGCAAACAAAATTCAATATACACAAAACGAAAGGCGAGTGCACCACAACAGTTAAAAACAATTACTGTTCGCCTTTAAAGTTTAAAACGAGTTTAATAAATTGTAAGCTTCAGAACTCGACATTAAGTTTTATCGCCTTAAGCAAAATTACATGGATTTTGGCTCATTGAATGATCGACATCACAAGGCTTGACGCATATGTCGGAAATGGCACAATCACCGAGACACGAACGTTTTTTAAACTCTACTATATGTGTGTGCACGGTCCTGACCGAGATGCATGTTTCCTTGTTTAAGGTTTACAATTCATAATTTTCATATCTTTCCCTTTGAAAGTTTTCTAATTCTTATACATGAAAGAGATCATGCAGTCTTTTAGTCGCCATGTTGGAATGACACATAATTTCATTTGTCGATATTTGACGTTCTTCCAAAATTTTAATAATTTCGTAAATGAAAGGAATGTGGGGTGACTTCCTTTGTCTGTAGGCATTCAGATATGATTTTCCGCTGAATTTCGACGCCAGGTATTTTATCTTTATTTAAATCAAATATCAAAGTTCAAGATAACAACAAATGATTGAGATAAATTTTGTCCAACCAAACAAATTGTATTTATGAATGCAAATTTCTGTCAACACTTGACTCTACATACGTGCGAAATAATTAGTACAAACTGTCTTACATGTACTTTATTTTTACAGTGTCAGACTAATTTTGTACTACTTAAAATAAGAATAGGAGATGATACCCATTGACATACGCATATACTAAGCGTGATTACCCCTCTCTGAAAAGATTAAAACTGACTAAAATAGAAGCATGGACAGAACTTCCTCCTT